ATAGATAGATATAGATATAGATATATATATATAGATATAGATAGATATAGATAGATATAGATAGATATAGATATAGATAGATATAGATATAGATAGATATATATATATATATATATATATATATATATAACAGCATTAAGTTCATATTCCAACTACACAACATGTTTAATGCCAATTGACTGGAGTAAATATTGTTGACCATAAGTCCTCTATAAACCATGCTAGAAAATATTTATTTCATGACTACCCAATTACGATATTAATTGGGTAGTATTAGTTTCATGACTAATTATATAATATTAATTTCATGACTACCCTTGATGAGTAAAATTGTATGTAATATGAGGTAGATTAAGCATCCAAGCATATCAAATTAACCCTAGGAGTTCTCTTTTCCAAACGTTTGGAATTAAGAGTCATGCAGATATACACAAAGCAGAACAGCGAGTTAAATGTTAACTGAGGGTAAATGCTGCTAACTCATCTTAGTTCAAACAACCATTGTAGGGGGCTAATCATGCAATAAGAACAAATTTTAAATATTCAAGGAAAATTCTATGGTCAACTGCATTGTTACTATATTGTAGGGACCATATAGAAGTAGGGAATTTTGATAATTAATAAATACATTTCTTGCTATGTGAGGGGTGGGGGTGAGTAGAGGACTTATGGTATACAAGGTAGTACATTAAATTATATTTTATTTACTAATTATATTTTAGCAACACTAAATGTTTTATATAAATTCACTAATCCAATGCAACTAATGTGCGTTAATTCATAGCCAAAGCATGTACACTTTCTTTGACATTTGGGCTAATTGAACACAAATCGTAGCAATTCACATCAAGCATTTGAATTTTCAATATGTGTATTCTCACCAGATGATATGACAGCATAATTTCTTTAGTGTGATCCATTATATGAAATTTAGCACTCGGGACATGTTGATGTAATGTAAGAAGTTATGTGCATTTTGATGATGATTAATCCAATATTCAATATATGTATAGACCATATGGTATGGTGGCAAATTATGTGATGATGAATTTGTATACCATATATTTTCTCTTGAAATTTCTTTTTCAATCCGTTCTGTGAAAAGTTGATGATATAGGATGGTATGGAAACTTCTCAGTTGTCCATAACTGAATATATAGCCATTATTCAATATGCGTTGGATATGGTAATTGATGTGGTAGTATAATTTGATGAGCAGGATATATACCATATATTTTCTCTTGAAATTTCCTTTATAATCAAAAACTGATAGAAATGTTGATGACAATAGTCCATAAGAGCATATATAAATTTTCTCTTGTCGTCTTGAACTTTCAATTTTGTCATCCGGCCATGATGAGGAATATGTATTTTAGCCCTCTTTATCTTTGTTTAGAAATCATCATATCTATATATAATTATATATATATAAAGCAATATTAATTTACCTATACCATATTATCTATTGAGTATTGGGATCGAGGGGTTTAATTACATAAAAATGATAAATCCAACTTCACCTTTCTCAATGTCTTGAACACAAGGTGGGAAAGGCAAAATTGGAGTTATCATTTTTAATGATACATGTTAGCCCATTAGTGCATTATAGACACTGTTTATTCATTCAGGCTAATGCCACCAATTAAGTGTCCAATCATTCAAGTGTCCATAGGTAAGTGCCAAGTGTCCATTCATTCAGGCTAATTAATATGATCACCTAAATATACGCAACTAAGATTGTGAATCTGATAAACACTTACTTGGCGTTATAGAGTACCAGTAAATTCATGTTCATCTTTATTGTTTAGAAATCTCAATTGGATAATAATATTCCCTTATGTTGCTTGTTCTTCCTGCTTGCATTAAATAAATGTAGTACGTGTTCAATGACAACTCATTGAGATGTCAATTAAGAAAGATACATGCCTGCCTGGATTGTTTAAAATGTTAGTTTGTAAGTGGTATTCTAACTTAATGTTACAATGTACAGTACATAAATATGTCGCATAAATGCATGTCGTTTTACAATTTAAAATATTATAACTAAATATATAAGTTCTTTGTATGTTTGCATGGCGATAAAATATATAATAGTTTTGTTTAAATAAATTTACGTGGTGTTTCCACAAACAAAACTATTATATAACTAAATATATATAACAATAATAAAGCACAATCAAAATATACAGCAACCCAGTTACTGATGTATATGGTTGGACCTAGAAATAAACAAAAATATTTACGGTAAATATGGTAATAATTCATAGACATAGTAAAATGCTAATACAGATAATACGTATGTATATTACGTACCTGGATCTTCAATTATATTAATTGTACTAAAACATTCAAGGTAAGACATTTCCTTCTTATTTTATATACCTCACACACATCTAAAATGTTCAGGTATCATTAACACTTTACAAACACCATTCATTTCCTTACTCGTTTGTCAACGCTCGAACACATCTAAAATGTGCAGGTACCATTGACAATGTAGTTCTCAGAGACGTGCAGAACATCGCAATGAGTCATCAGCTTGAACACTTTGAACCAATCATTGACATTGTATTATAAGTACGGGCAATTACCTCGAAAACACAGTTGTGCGCAGGCTGAAACTACTGGTGTTTGAATAGCACAAGCTTCGAAAACTGTTTATGTACTACCTTCTCGTGCATTCCTGCATTTCTCATCTTGCTCAAATGGTGCATTCGGATCGCCACGTAACTCTGGCTCCAGCATTTAATCAACTTAAAAACATGGTTGTTTCCTGGAGTCGAATTAAACATGTGTTGGTCTAACGTACTAAAGACCTTGCTTTCAACCCAGACTGATAACACTGTCATAGCAATCGCACTTGAAAGTCCAGCGCTATGTGGTAAACGACCTCCATTTACATTTAGCATTCTCATAACACACTTCTCTGTTTCCTCGCATATTTTGATGAGGCTGAGTGATGGCAGTTTAATTCAGGCCTCCATTCATTTTCCATGTTACGAATATATCTGGAATGTTTTCTTTGCTCGTTGTCAACGCTGCTAGACATTGCGGACAGTGGATCTTTTTCTCCACCATCTTCACCACATACCCAGCGATATACGATATGGCCACCTCTTTGTACTCAGATAGTTCCATGGCGTTCGAAACATCGCAGCAGTTGTGATCATCTGCAGCTGGCTGTCTCACCTCCAAGTCATATCTTCTTGCAATTGCCACATCAGAAATTCCAGTAGATACGGAGTTGATTTCTTGTTGATCCTGGACACTGTTCAATATCTCATAATAGTGCCTCATCAGCAGTTGCTTGTATGCTGCTACGAATTGGCGAGTTGTTGGATTATTGTTCCACCCTCCGCAAGCTCGCACGGCTGAAAAGAATAACTCCAAGTGATCTTGGCTCATCTTGTACGTCAGAAGATACTTCAGGACAGGATTCGCCGCATTAACGAGATCTTCTGCTAATCCCACAACAGCATTGATGCACAAAAGGAAACCAAGAAATCCTGTTTTCCTTTTTTAACGTAAGGATCGACTGGCCATCTGGACCTTTCAGATTTCTAATGTACTCTCTTGCCTCATCTAGAAACCTCTTCATGTACTGATAGTTTGATCTTCTAATTGGCAGCTTGAAATTTCTCGCCAATGGATTCCTGGAATTCAGAACATCAAAAAGATGATCAAAAACAAACACGAAAACATTGTACTGTTGGACCACAGCCTTGAAATTGTGGCAATTTCAGCTTACCTTCACAATACTCCAAGGCATCTGCAACACTCGAACTGAGTGCCTGTGCTGCTAGATTTACCTTCATTTTCTGTGGCTTCCATTTGATGTGAGCGGATCGGAGCTTATTGGCAAGATGTAAGCCCTCTGACTCTTGTAATTTATGCAACTCCTCCACAAATTGCCACTTGATGGCGTTGCCGTCCTTATCCTTTAGGACCTTCCAGTCCAACATGTTGTTTCTTACCAACTTTATCATGTGACAAGCATCTAGGAAAATATAGATCTTGGCTGTCGGGTCACATGGATGTTGGAAGGACACTTGTAAGTTGCCAGGTGACAGTTGAGCGCCGAACAATTTCAACATCGCCTGGTGAGACGTGGGGCCATCGCACATAAAAGATACCACCTTCACCCCTACTTCGTGCAACTTGGTTATGCATTCTTTGGTCAAGTTGGCTTTCTCCTCTCCAGTAAGATCCTTTACTAGAAAATATCTGCATGGTACTTTCCAACCGGAGTTAACCGAGACTGCCATAAAAACAAGAGCATCTGTTGCTTCGGGCAGCGAGTCATCATTGGTGCCTGTGCCAAGATCAACATAACCGCGAAACTACTTGCCATCCCATTCGACATGCTTGCGTATGGCCATTTCATCGAGCATTAGTGCACAAACAACTTCTTAGTTATCCCTTTTTGCAGCTAAAACTTTGGCTTTCAATGCTGTAAGTGCATCCTTTGTAAAACCTGGCTCGCCATTCATAGAACTACATACCATGACCGAATCACGTTTACATGTGGCAGCCCTAAATCAAAACTTTTTCGCACATAGTTATACGCTTTAGTTGAATAAAATTTCAAGGTCAGGGCAAATGACCTTAGCTCAGGTGGATACGCCCCAAGATTTTTCTTCTTTTTTTGTGTCACCAACCTCTTCATAAGTTCCTTTGGAACTCCAGAAAAATTGATTCTAGAATAGTCGCACAATCACTATTGATCAGATTTTTTTCTCTCAATTCACTTACCACTGAAATCAACATGCTAACCTTTTTATCTCTTCTCTTGGTTTTCTTCTGAGATGTATTTAATCTCTTCTGTAGATTTTCAACTTTATCTATAAGATCATCAACTTGCCTTCTCACTCTACTAGGAGACTTTATACAATATGGGTGATCATGTACATTCATTTCAGAAGAACTGGTCGTTCGCAGAGGCACCGGAATATCTATAATTGGGGGGGGGGGGCAGATATTCATATATTCGTGTTCTGCCCAATTAATTTCTTTTGAAATCGATTGTTTTTACAGTCTGTGAACACGAATATATGAATATCTGCCCCCGCTATTATCGATATTCCGGCGCCTCTGGTCGTTCGCGCCCTTTTTTGAGACGCACTTACCTCAATTTCCGATTCATTCGAATATTTTCTCTTGCCTCCTGGTACACTTAATACGTTGTTGTCGATACTTACTTTTTCAATCACCTCCTGCATAATCACACTATCTGAGGCAATGATCTCTTTATTAACCACCTGTAAACTTAATGCTTCATCACTTACATTATCTTCATTTATTACTACTGTTTCCACTAAACTATTTTTTTTGTCTGACATACCATTAAATTTTTCTACTTCTACAACATCCTGATGCGAGACTTTCTTAGTACTGGCCACTCCATTCTTTGTTACCTGTGGGATTGAGTAAGAGAATATAATCAACACATATTTACTTTATGTATGAATAATGGAAAACTCTTAGCTGTGATGCACCCAACTTTATTATTTTACACATGTCTATAATGCCAGATGGTATTACTTAAGGGAAGAGTCTTGCACATTAATGGGTTAACCAAGGTGCATGTGTATGGTATCTGTCATTGTGCCTATAATGTTAGTCAACGTTGTCTATGTAAAATTGTTGTAACAGCTTTACCAGTCAAGAATTTTTAATAGACATTATTGGGGTGGGGGAGGGTGATATTGCTTTCTCCTTCCCCCCTCCCTGGTGACGGCCATGCATGAAGCACAATATGCTGCTCTTACTTAATTGTCATAAAGCAGTTATAGAAAATATGAAAATTACTTTTATTACCAAACAAAAATGACCAAAACGTTTTGGCTGACTATAATGGACAGAAAAATGGTATCAGGATAAAACAACAGGATTGTAGGTAATGGCTGACTTTACAGAATTTTTAAGTTACCATTCAATAACTTTTGACACCTTTTGTGGCAAGTTAATTTCAATATATTTTTAGCTAGCTTGTAAAATTTATAGCCGGCGATTTGCTAGCTTTCATGTTGAATAATTTTTGTTGCAGCTTAGTTACAAATTAAGAATTAATTAGTTATTAATTAATTTATCATTATTATTTTATGATTTTAACAAGGCGAAAATGAACTGCTGAGCAGAAATCACTCACTCATTACAAGTACATTGACGACTAACAGCTAGACTAACAATAAACGGACTAACTATTAACATGTCATTGATTCATTTCAATGATAATTCGGGAACCCTGTTAAAGGATTCCATTCGAAATACCTATAAATGCCACATAGATTGCTTAGTGATCTACCATCTCATATCATTTTATTAAAACAATTTTCAAGTTGCCATTCAATAACTTTTGACACCTTTTGTGACAAGTTAATTTCAATATATTTTTAGCTAGCTTGTAAAATTTATAGCCGGCTATTCGCTTTCATGTTGAATAATTTTTGTTGCAGCTTATAGTTACAAATTAAGTTCAGTTATCATTCACAATAAATTCAGCTATATATATCATTCAAATGCTGTCACAAATTATTGGTCTGGGTGGGGTCCCCCAGCCACCTGATGTCCATATTGCACCATATATTGCACCACATTGTACTTAATTATTATTTTACTCTATCTAACACCAGAGGATTATACTCACCAAGAGTATTAAATTCATAGCTCTGGTGCTCAATGGGTTATTAAAACTCAGTCTGACAGTTTAGACACTTAGGTCACTTGGTTAGTCTGGTTGACTGTACTGTCCCTAGAATGCACTTTAAACTCTATTTTATGTTTAATTAATACTGACACTATAGACAACAGACAATAATAGCTATTCCTTTTAACAAACACAAACCCCCTATCAGTCAGATAGCTGGAATTCTTCAGGGGTGCAGTAAATGCCAAATATTGCCTGGAATTTTTCAAGTCAAATGGAAAATTGAACTGGAATTTATCAGAGGTAAAGTATTTTATGCAGCCTTTTTGTTGCATTTCCTCAGGGGTGTATTTTGTGTCTAATTTGACAAGGGTGTGCAGATATTAAATAGGAACTATAACCCAATTTAAGTGCAACCAAAAAAATGTTAAACTTTAAAAAGATTAAATAAGCAATAAGTAATAGAGAAAACCGACAAAGGTACAAACCTGAGAAGTGGGAAATATTGTTGGGACAGCAAATGGCTTCAGTATTACTCTTTGGCCACTCTCTTCCTTCATGTCAGAGCTAAAATGCTCTGAACAAATACGACTTACTCTTGTCGGAATAAATTTCACCAGTACATTTTTATTGACATTTTCAAGCCATTTGGTGTACATCTCAGGACACTTGTTTTTGGATCTGGGAAGCTGTAAAATTATTAAAATGCATTCAATATTAAATTGCTCATACAAGCTCAAACAATTGCTCAAAAATGTGTCATTGAAAGAGAATTCATGTGAAAATAATGACATTTAATAATCAAATTGCTGGAGCATCATAACTATATCATTATATTATGCCATTTTTGTTTTTACAAAATTTTCTAGCAGGATAAAAATGTACAAAGTAAATACAAATGCTCAAAAAAACGTTGATTTGAAAAATAAACACACTTGCCTATTAACGACCGTGGTAAAATTATAATAATTATCAGCTGTTTACATCTGTTTTAAGTATGAAATAGTGAAATTCAGCGACATTAAAATACCTATCTCATACCTTGTCCCATACGTCATGTCTTTTTCCTAAACTATTTTTAAAAATACTTTGTTTTATAAAAAAATAAAGCACACAGAAAACGTTTCAAGAACTCTTACCTGTGAGAAGAAATATTTTTCTTTAAAAAGGTATTATGGCAACCATAAATAGAGCAAAAACGAGGCATTTTTGTGAGCTGTTCAAAGTTAAGCATTTGATATAAACAAGCAAAATCCAAACAGCGGGAAAAATTTATTTGAGCAGTGAATTTTGTGCAAAAACCAGGGGGGTTAACGACATCGTCGGAAACTTAGGATCGCGGTTGGTCAGTGGCAATTACCATGAAAATAAAGTAAGTGTTGTCATGGAAATGGCATAAGATCCGCCATGTTTTTGTGGACACTTTTTTATCCCGAGCAGGTCCTCCAGTAATATCGTATAACTCAGTGGTTTTACGCATTCTGATTGGCTTAGGGCAAAAATGTAAACAAAAGCGCTGATTGGTCGAGAACGAAATTCTCCCTTGTTGTGGCCATCAGCGTGAGAGTCAAGAGGGACAGTGGGAGGGGCGTGTTCACCAATTCATCCCGGGGTCCGTGGTTACCTCTCGCCGGCCTTGCTAAAACGACACGATAAAAAGCCTTTATATTTTTTATGCTTTTCTACTCAACAAGAGAATAAAAAGGTAAAGCGATTAAAACTATATATTTTCCTAATCATTTTAGCCTAATAACATGCTTCAAAAATGTTCTTTCGACATGCAGCATCAAATTGTACTTGCCGAAAACATTGTCATTGTGTTCATGACAACATTTATAAAAAATATATGAATAAGTCTAGAAATCATGTTTAAATTGCCGTTTTAAAGTATTTTTTAAAATTTTATGTTTGAGGACAAGTCCTTGATTCCAGTATTCATATTTTTCGAAGCATAGCTGAATATATATGCTGAGCATTTGAAATTAAACACTTAGCACTGATATTTCGATACATACATATATGTCAAAGAAATACTTGTTTTACTTTTTTCACACTTATAGGTCGGGGAAAAAAGAACATTTCGGGCTTGGCACTAAATCTATTGAATAATTTCAGCTTACTTTTCTATTTTTAGTATCGATAGGGAGGATTTTTCAACTTTTTGGATAACTTTTTCAGTTTGAAAATTGTTTTCGTTCCTCGGTTTGTTTTGGCACGAAACGTGAGAGGTAGAGAAACGTATCGCGTGATACGGACCTCTAGTCAACCAATCAGAATGCTCCATTTACGTTATGGGATTACGGACCGGAAAAAAATAAAAAGTAATAATATTTAGCAAAAATTATCGAGCAAAGTGAAGTGTAATATTTCAATCATACTTTGTAAAATGCATTTTTTTATTCAATGAATTACAAAATGTTATTTAACAATTAGACAACTCAGCCTCAAACTCGGCTTCGCCTCCTTATATTGGATCGGTCACTGTTGGTATCATGTCAGTAGTAATATAGGTACCGTTCGACCCCCTTTTGTGGGGGCCGCACTATTATATTTGCAGGTAATTACTATGCAAAGGGCTGCATCATTATATATGTGGGTAATTACTATGCAAGGCGGCCACATCATCATTAGCATAGAATGAGAGTGAATTAATTTGAATAAATGAGAGTGAGTTAATTTGAATAAATGAGGGTGAGCTAATGATACAGGGGTGAGATTATAACACTGTAATTGTACCAGGTATTCCGAGTCATACTCGTTGGTTACACCATTGCTATGCTCTTAGCATCATACACAATTTTCCCACATGTAAAACACAAAGGATGCTAATTAAAAGGATTAAGGTAACACAGATTTGGATAACTAATATAGGATCTCAAAGGATATGTGGGGGTAATATTGGTTGGTAACCAGTCAAGTTTGGGCAAGTAGGTTTGCCGTGCTCAGCATTTTGTCAGCCGAGTAGATTAACATGCTTTATATAGCCCTCTTAGATGTTAAGTCATAACAACAGCCAGTGATATGCACGGTAAAAGGAATATATCTAGTCAAGAGATTAGTCTATTGTGTGGTTTAGAATGTGTTGCCCTACGTTTGTGTAAAAACTATGTTTAGGAAGAATAAAATATTGTGAACCCCAAATAAAGAAAACGCCGAATATAAGTTTAATGAATGAATATTTGTAGACCAAGCAAAACAAAACGATTCTTGTAGTTTTTAAGTTCAAAGGGTGCAAACGAAATACTCAAGAGAGGTTCATTTTTTTATGTAGATACCCTTGTAATAAATCGCTTTCCTTGCAAGTGAAATATGATCCAACTTCTCGTTTAAATTGTATGGCAACACTTCGTATAATAAATATGAGAGCCCAACATATAACTTTTAACAAAGCCATTAAAACAGTTTTAAAAGATTGTAAAGAATTTTAATTGTAACGTTTCGTCTTTAACTTAAGACATCTTCAGACTAGATAAAATTACACGAGATGTGAATGTATATAAGCTAATTATAATCTATTTACAAGGTGTTATGTTACTAAGGATAATAAAGGGTAAGAGGATGTACGGCAACACTTATTATTGATGACACTGTGGTGTCATCAATAATAAGTGTTGCCGTACATTTTAAACGAGACCGGGTTTTCGAAGTTGAGCACGAATCGCCGTAGATATCTTCTTGTCCGATAAGTGTATCCTGTCCGATATTCAAAACAAAACATTTATTTTATAACGGGATCCTTTGATTTCCCAAACATCGCCAACTGTGTGTAAACAATGCTATTCTAACTGTGTGTAAACAATGCTATCCTGACTGTGAAAGCACTGGATTAAAACCTGTTATGGACTGTAAAATTCCCTGCATTTACATTGCTCAAACTCAACGATGAAGAATGATTATGTCGAAGTATAATACTAAAGCTATCTGTTATCACACCAGCGCCAAATATACTCTTCCGTGTGTGCGGTACAACTTGGATATTTAGGACGAAACATGCAATCAGACACTGGTATTATACTTTATAGTAAATTATTTTATATTTCATGTATTAGAGTAATTTACAGCAAGTACATTCAAAATCATTTAAAGACCTTTCATTGGCATTGCCATTGCCATTGCCCCCATTGGACTTTATTTGAAGAATAATCCCGCTTAAAATCCAGCTTCTTTCGACTTGTATCAATGACCGCTGTGGGTCATCAAGACAATATTTATATCAACTTTATTCATGCAGTAAACTTTATCGTATGCTGTGATCGACCTTCTAGAAGTTTCACCAAACGATACTTGAGACAAATAACCTATCTATCAATGGAAACTCTAAATATTTTTAGCTACAATATATTCATTAAAGAATTCTATGAGCGAGATTTCGTGCGCACATACTGTTTATAAATTTATTGATATGTATTAATAAATTGATTAAACGTAGGGACACTTTATACCAGATATAATAAAAAATACTTTGCTAAACCTTATCAGCTATCAATCCTTTGCATTCAAGGGGCGAGGGTAAATGGCTATAGAATTATATAGGAGATGCTGTGCAATATTTTTGCTTCAACCGACAGTTATTCGTGCAGACAAAAAAGGAAAAGCATCCAGTTCTGAATTGTCTTTATATATAATTCTGTACTGTTGTAGGACTCGTAGTGTTGACCCCAAACAATTTTGTACGTTAACACTACTTCCTACCTGGTGTTTTATATAAACGATGATAACCTATTTTTTAAAGAAAATCTAGAGCACTATGTTTATAAACGCTTTTAGAATCTATTGAATAGACATTCGATGTCTATTTGGCTAGTGTCCAAATGTGTAATGTTTGCTGTAAGACCACTAAGGTGCTATTTAACAAATTTATACTGTTCCATATAACAACAATTCAATGGCATATTATAAGAATATTTTGCAGTAAATATCTGAACCCGAGGCAGAACAGAAACGTACGCGTGAAATGAAACTGCGCCCGAACCCCGAGAGAATAAAAGGAAATATTTCAAAGCATATAGGCCTAATACGATCATATGTTTTCGTTGCTTGATTTCCTGACTTATCTGTTCTATAAGAATATACAGTTTACTAGTCTGTCAATAACAAAAGTCTGCTGGTTACAGCATATATAAACACTTAATAACATGCTATCTCCTCCCTAAATGTTTAAGTCTTGCCAACAGAAGTCTCCACAATTCACAGTATAAAATCTAGTTTGATTATATATTTTAATTGTATTTTTCACACTGCGGAACAGTTTCCACCAGCTGCCGAATAACACTAGGTCTTGACAACATAAGTTTCCACTATTAACAATACTCAAAATTTAGGTTTTATAATAATTTTTATAATGTTATTTTTTATTAATGTAATATAGGAAAGATTAAAGTCCTCACTGCAAGTCCCCCTTCAAGATTCTTACCACTTCTGGGATTGATGGTCTTGATGCTGGCTTGGTATCCTTACACTGCTTTCCCAAGGATTTCAGATATACATGTGGCAATGCCTTTCCAACACTATAGTTTGGTGCAAGAGTTTATGAACTGTTACTGACTCCATACCCTCACCAAGAAAGTGCATCACCAAAGAGTAAGGTTTTTCATCAATTTGGACTCCTAATAGATGAGGGATTGCCGGATGAGTTAGTGGGTTCATGCATTGTGCTTCATTCATGACGGCTGTTAAATCTGAAGTTGGTACTTTTTTCTCAAGAATTGTTCTTCCAAATCTTGTAAACTTTTTTCAAATACAATCCCCGTATGTTCCTGAACCTACAGGAGCAATTGCAGAGTTATTTTCTTCCAGTGGTAACTATTGGATACTTTGTATTTTAATGTTTTACAGGAACCATCTGAAAACCACTTCTTCATCTTGTGATGTTGGTTTCCTGAATATTATCATTCAATAGGGTAACAACTTGTATATAGTTTAATCCATTAGGGCATTAAAGGGCCTTCCCTGGACAAGAAAAATAAACTGGTTTTAGACAGAGTAAAATGACAAAGTAGGGTGCACCAGAGTGCATATATTGAGTTGTTCAAAAGATACCTCCCCTATGGAAGAGATTGTGGCCATCCAAGAAGTTAGTTAATAATAATATACACTAAAATTTCCTAAATGTACTAAAATGTAATAAGGAGAGGGGTTCAACTTTCCAATTTCTGCTTGGGGATGTTTCTGGAATGATCCATAATCCATTGCATCTTAACGGGTTAATACTACATTTTCCAGGGGTATTTTGCTGGGGGGAGGGGGAATTCCCCTGCAAATATGAAAATAGCTAAATTCTGGGGCGGAGGAGCATTTCCTCCCAAAATTATTAATATTAAACTGGTATGTGATAAAGCATATAATTACATAGAGGTGCAATTGGTGAACCCAGACATCATTTCTATCCTCTCATTTGGAAATAGGTGAGTGTTGGAAATGATGTCTAGGTTTGTGACTATTGGAAGGGGAATTCCCTCTATAAAATAAAAAAAAACCTGAAATTTTTTTGGGGGAGCTCCCACCCAAGTCCCAAAACCTAAAATATCCCTGTTTTCGAACAGCATGCATGCAATCTATTGTTTTCATGTGTAGTTATACAACATTGTAAAATGTGAAGGAATCTAAGCAATGTAGATAATTACATTTATAAATATATCTTATTTACAGGTATCAAACTTGCTTATAAGTAATTATTTAATAGTACCATTTTAATAATTACACTAAAATCTAGAATTCTATATAACTTGCAGTGGTGCCTAAATTACTGTGACGTAGGCTTCCTGATTAAAAATTGCTTGAATTGAAATTTGTACTCGAGTAAAAGTAGAAGTAATTAACAATAAAATGACTTGAGTAAGAGTAAAAAGTACTGGAAGCAAAACATACTTAAGTAAAAAGTACCTCAAAGTATCCTTAAGAAATACTTGAAGTACAAAGTTAAAAGTAAAAGTACTATTGTCTGTAGCCTGTAGAGGGGGACTTCTCCAATGGATTGACATACAAAAGACACAAAACAGCACACACATTATATGTGTGCACCGAATATACAATATTTCACCACATGGTCTACTTTCCAGACCCGTTGAAGATATAAGAAATCCATTAAATAAATAATGCTTATAAGTAAGTCACAAACGAGAGATCCCAGACGCATGTAGAGGTCGTATTACCCATCCCGAAATTAAAATAAATCTGAAATAAATCACGTAAAACTAAACAAAAGTTAGAAAGTAACGAAATACGTCGCCACAAAATGAAAATAACGAAGTAAAACGTTACTTCTTAAAATAACTTCGTTCCAAGTAAAAGTACTGCAGAAAAAGTTTACTTTGTTACATGCTCACTTCTCAAAAATAGTACTCAAGTACAGTAACGAAGCACATTTACTTCGTTACATGACACCACTGTATGTAAGGAACTTCTCCTATTCTTTGTCAGGGTATGACCGACATAGAAACCAGCAGGGAATTTCCTAGCCTGTATACCCTGTACATGTGCTGCACATTAATATTTATACTGTATTGTACTCAGTATTGATTTGACAATAGCAGCAAGGCTTTGACTTTGAAAATAGTTAACCTTTCTCGAGTGACTTTGTATCGATGTTTTACGCCGTAAATCTTCTCAGCATAATTTTCTCCACTTGTCATATTTTTCAGCCGCACCAGCTGAAAAATATGACAAGTGGAGAAAATTATGCTGAGAAGATCTACGGCATAAATAAGCTGTGCGTTTGTGTATAGCCCCTATCTCCTCCGCAGAGGTTTTGGTGTTATCGAAGAAAGCGGGAAACCTCTGGCAGAAGTCACGCCCAATAGTTCAAAATACTGGAGGGGGGAGGAGTTTGAGAAATTTGTTAATTGTTATTGTTCCATGTAATGATTATAATACTGTATATATAACATTTTTTAGCCTTCATATATTTTATCTATCTAATACCATAGAAATAATTTTTTTGCTATAGTATTGAAGATGTAGAGCTACTTTGTAGATATGCTTCAATTAAACCATTATTATTAATATTATTATTATGTAATTTTTAATTTGTTATTCTCAAAACTGTCAAAAGTGTTTATATCTATGGACGACGCAAATTTAGTGGAAAAACTTGACCTAAAACACTCTTGTTTTGGAAAAGCGTTATTGTTAGAATGGAGGAATGGGAAAACGTGTTGTCATGCTTGTTTTACAGAATATGGGAAAATCGAAATATTTTTAAAAAATGGACTTTATGACCAGGGTTAACTTTAACAACACTAGAAAATAATCAATAGATATTCAATCTTATGATAGTATATGCAAGGTTTATTAAAAATAGGCTGTTTTTTCTTTATGGCTTTAGTAGCTTCCAGTGTCAGTACAAAAACAGGAAAACTACGAGTAATATTAAGACCAGCAGGACAATAAACTTAGCAGGACGCGCCTTTTACTTTGTAACAGTACTATATATCATAATATAATACCTATACGAAGTTTTTAATTGAAGAGATATAACTTCTTTGACACTAACCTTCAATGGAAAGCTCATCAAATGATACGTTTAATACTGACTCTTCGAATGTGTCTTCTGAATTCTCTATAATCGCTATAGCGAGCTTAAGACACCAAATCAACGACGCGGACATGACATAAAAACCGTTGCTAATGTTTGGAATCCAATTTTATTTGGCATGTGCTAAAACCTGGACTGGACTCTGGACTGGACTATGGATTGGAATTATGGACTGGACGGTGGACTGGACTGTGGACTGGACTGGACGATAGACGTCCATCGTCCAGGTTTTAGCACATGAAATATTATCAAAATGAAGAGAATTCTGTTGTTTAGTAATATATTTGACATCTGTATGTACAATTTCCTACGCTGAACCGAACGGTGGTATTTTTGTCTTTATTGGGCGCAAAGTAAAACCAGAGATAAGGCACAGCAAAAAGTCAATTGTGAGAGTCCGAGATTAATTCGAAAGAAAACATTTTCGAAAAATAGAATTTGGAAAACGTGAATGATTATTTTGAGTGGCTTGTCTTTCAAAGGCCATAAATCACAATAGAAATCAATTTTGAAATCAATGTTCCATCAAATTCAAGTTTTGCGCTGATTTGAACAGTGGTATTGTTGTCCTTGTCATAGACGGATTTTGTGGGGGGTGCAGGGGGTGCTACCCCCCAAAAGTAGCTATAACCCCCCAAACAAAATGTCCACCCCTCCAAAAAAAATTTCAACCCCCCCCTCCCAATATTCGGCATGATAAAAAATAATTAAATAGTCCACTCCAACGTGCAGAGTGTTGATGATACAAAATAAACGTAGGAGTACACTTAAATAGAAAAAGACAGTGCAATACTCTGAAACTAATTGCTCCTCGCTTGCATTCACTGGTTTATTGGACCAATTGTAAAGTTTTGAAACTAGAGTTTTCAGTGCCTTGTCATGCAAATAGCTTGCTTGCAAGGAACGTTTGGAAATTTTACGAACATTATTTTTAGTTTTTAATTCTTTTAGGAAATAGTCTTGCCTAGATTTAATCTTTACGTCCCAAACCCCAAATCTGATCGATGTATATGTCCTCCAACTCTGAGAACACCGTCTTTGTCTAGGAAAGGATCCAAATGAAACAGGCTGGACTTCCGTAACACCATTCTTCTTTCTCTCAAGGACTGATGACTCTCTGGTTTGTTGCCACTCCTCCTTTGCAGTACGCTGATTTCGTCCGCGAAGGCTTCTTCTTGGGTTTAAGAGGGAATCTCCACTATCACCGAGCAACTGGTGGCACATGATGAAAAATGAAATGTTTTCTATTTTTGTCCAGTGATACACTAATGTATACTTAGAAACGTGATGGGGTTTGTTTTCTGAAATATTATTTTAAACGCCCAAAAATTATGAAAACCTGACATGTACCCAAGATTCGTGAAATTAGCTAAAAACATAGTGAGTCATAGCCTCTCGAAAACTTCGCTCAGTTCGCGTCTTCAGGAAACCTCACTTTCGGTTTTGAAATGTGTATATAAGATGTTTATAAACAACGATAGTCTATTTTGCAATCTTTTAAATGATGTTTCAAAGTCAAGGCAAGCGTGTAAAAATCGCCTTATTTTGCGATCCAAAAAATTCTAAATTGTTACACTTTTTGAAAATTAATTTTCCATATCCGGGAAAACTCCAATTTCCTTGAAATTTAGGGAATTTAAAGAGAAACTGTTGCTCTAAAAGCTGATGTAAAAATTATTTTGGGGCTTTTTGTTACCGCGGAATTATACTGACTATAATATCGGGAAAATCACAAGAAAACCTTAAGTTAAAAAATTTTAAGTTTGGTACATTTTTTGAAAATCGATTTTCCCTTTCCCGTAAAACTCCGATTTCCTTCATATTTAGACAAATGTATGAGCAAATGTTGCTCTCAAATCTGGTGTAAAAAATATTATGGGGTGTTTTGTTATCACGAAATTATAATGTCTATAATATACAGCCGAATATGTAGACAGACACTTATAGACATGCAGGCAGTACGTCTAGACACAGCCTGCTCAGATAGACTGTCGAAACGTGAGCATTTATACTTGTTTTCTCTTGTTATTTGGTTTTGACAGATAAATTATAAATTATTTAAATTATTTTGCTTGTTTATCGGGATTTTAGAGAAATAAATAGTCAATATGAACATCATGTTGCAAAAGCTCCGTGCGCGTGACTTGACACATAATAATTTTAATAGACAAAATATCCGTTATTGATAGCATGCTTAAATCCACTACTCAAAGTCTCAATAGCTCGTAAAATCAATCCGTATTATCTACTTTTTTCAAACTGAAATATATGTGCTTAGTTTTCTCTGAAGTAGTCGCATAAATCATTGAGATTAGGGCTACATTTTATTAAACTCGCGATGCGACTACAATGACAATGTCAATGTAATTAGTGACGTGTTTGACAGTTTGTATAAACAAACTTCCGAATACACAGAAATTATAAAGTAATATCAAACCTGATGTATAGAACATATGCTGAATTTACTTTGTTATATGCACAATAACTGCATGTAAGCGACTTGCTCCTTTAAGAAACCAATTTGCTAATAATCATTCTTTTTCAAAATCATGCGGACCTTTATTTATCATTTAAATAATATACCCTTAAAATACTGACAATTGATTAATTTTAAGTAGCTACATCATCCATAACAAACTGCAAAAAATGAAGATATTACCCATACTTTTCTGCAACTTATCCAACATATCAGACTTGTAAACACGATGTCATACCCTATAGGGAGTATCGTTAAGTTGAAGTTCTGAGCAATTTCAGAACTCTGTATGTCGCCGCCATGCCATTAAGTTGGGGCCATGGTCCCGCTTCCCCGGGTCCTGGAATTTAATGAAGTGTGACGTGCGTATTTTGAGCAATGTAAATTAGTCGCACTTCATGATATAACAAAATTGCTCGTTACAAATTGTATGAAATTCCATGTCTTAAACAAAAAACCAAATGTTGTTGAATGCTATTAATCGTCTTCTTTCACTACATAACTTCAGGCGCATTCCTAATTTCGTTTAAAAAATATTTAAAGTTATCTAACTTTTGTTTAGGGCTGAAACACGTATTTCAATTGCTCGATCAAAATACGTTACACTTCATTGAATCCCGGGTAAGCGGGACCATATAAACTGCCTCTTATAATCAAATTTCTCATGAGAGCGAAACGCAGTGCCGTAGCTAGCTCGATAATTGGGGGGGGGGGGAGCAGATATTCATATATTCGTGTTCTGCGTTATTAATTTCTTTTGAAATCGATTGTTTTTATGGTCTGTGAACACGAATATATGAATATCTGCCACCCCCAATTATCGAGCTAGCTACGGCACTGGCGAAATGCAAATTTTGTATCATCGCCTCTGATCATCGCCCATGTTTGTATATTTTAAATTCCGATGTATATTAAAATACGTATACTTTCAAACATCATACCTCGCATCAGACTTATAGTTCTTCAGCGAAACTTTCAGTATACATATAGATTATAGCCGTAGCCGAAATTTTTTAGTTTTGAGAGCAAAACTAATTGTTTTGCCGCTTTTGGGAGCTTTCAAAATGGTTGTAAAACTTTTGAAATGGATAAAAATTTACTATTTTCGACCCTCGACCCTCGTTATAAGCGTCAATTGCATTTAGGTAATGAGTTCCACAGTTTAACTCCATCACAACAGAAGCTTTTCTTAAGGTCGAGAAATAAGCGAGATTTAAAAAAAAGCTTTTAAATATTTTCCACGTCATTTTAAAAGTTCTTTCAGATAAGGGAATCTAATTTCTATATTCATGCTATTTCCGATCATATCCCTCCTCAACAGGGCCGTCTCTAGACGCGATAATGGGGGGGGGTGTATTCATATATTCATGCTCGCTACCGTAAAAACAATCGCTTTCAAAAGAAATCCGTCGGGCAGAAGACGAATATATGAACATACACCCCCAATTATCACGCTAGGAATGGCCCTGTCCCTTTAATTAAACGACTGAACTTGCCCGGCTTCAATGAAAATAAGGCCGAAGTTTGACGCTTAAACTGAACTGCTTAGAGCACAACATGCTCAAATATAAGTAATTGACTGTTTATAGTAAGTATATATAGCCTTGAATCTAGCGAGTGTACAAGTGTTTCTAGTTTATTTTAATTGGCGCGCATGGATCGATCAATTGAAACAAGAATTTCAAGCAGAAATCTTAGTCTTGGAGACTTTAACAGCGTATTTTTATCTAGAAATAGGCAAACTAGTTTAAAATTATCTACGTCTTATATTTCCTATCAATAACAAGAGAAAACTAGCAAGAATGATTAAGGTTCGACTGTCTATAGTTGAAGCAAAGTGCCTAATTGTCTGAGGATTTTTAAGGTTTTTTTTGTGATTTTCTCGATATTATAGTCAGTATAATTCCGCGGTAACAAAAAGCCCCAAAATAATTTTTACATCAGGTTTTAGAGCAACAGTTTGTCTTTAAATTCCGTAAATTTCAAGGAAATTGGAGTTTTCCCGGATACGGAAAATTAATTTTCAAAAAGTGTAACAATTTAGAATTTTTTGGATCGCAAAAAAAGACGATTTTTACATGCTTGTCTTGACATTGAAAAATCATTTCAAAAATTGCAAATTGGACCCACGGTCTTTATAAACATCTTATAAACACGTTTAAAAACGAAAGGTGAGGTTTCATCACACGCCAATTGAGAAAAACGAAATTTTCGAGAGGCCGTAGCTCACAATTTTTTTTGCTAATTTCGCGAATCTCGGGTATGTGTGAGGTTTTGATAATTTTCGGCGTTTAAAATAATATTTCAGAAAACAAACCCCACCACGTTTCTGAGTACACATTAGGGTATCACTGGAAGAAATAAGAAGATTTTTTATTTTTCCTCATGTGCCACGTATTCTCGATTTTGCTCGGTTTTAGTGGACATTGTCTCTTAACTTCTCCAAGATTGCCAGCGTAGATTTGAGTCATCAGGAAGGGGTTCGTCCCATCCAAGGGATTTATCTTTCTGTTTCTTCTTTCCCAGGATGACTAAGTGTTGTAGTAGAAGTTTTCCTACCAAGACAACAGGTGCAGCCAGTCCAAGAGGGTCGTAGATCGAATTTACTATGGACAGGACTCCTCTTCTCGTAAATGGTTTATCTGGCAGGTTGACACTGAATGTCAGGACATCGCTCTCCAAGTCCCATTGCACGCCGAGTGTTCTTTGAGCAGGAAGGGCGTCTTGTCGCAGGTCCAGATCGCGCACAATCGTTGCTCAATCTTCAGCTGGAAATGCCTCCATCACTTCAATCGAGTTTGAAGCCACTTTGTGTAGGCGAAGGTTGGCGGTGGCCAGTGCAGCTTGCGCTCCCTTTACCAAACTGATTGCATTTTTTTGACTGGCTGAGACGTTAAGCCGTTGTCGATGTAAAAGTCCTTGCAGATGAACTTCTTCACGTCCACTCCGTGTTCCTCCTCGCCGTCGTTTGCAGCTTTTCTCATCCCGAATGTAGCCACGGCTGGGCTAGGGCTGTTGCTGAAAAGGTAGACGGTCATCTTGTATTCGATAATCTCCTGGGATGGGTCATTGTCTTCGAACCATAAGAATCTGAGAAAGTCTCTGTGGGCTGGATTGACGTAGAACGAGTGGAACATTTGTTCCACATCACACATCACTCCAACGCTTTCTTGTCTAAAGCACATGAGGACTCCCAGTAGACTGTTCATTAGGTTTGGACCAACCAGTAGCTCTTTGTTGAGAGATGCACCTTTGTACTCGCAAGATGAGTAGAAAACTACTCGAATCTGGTCCGGCTTTTTGGGATGATAGATTCCGAAATGTGGGAGGTACCACACTTTGCCAGGCTCGACGCTTGTTTTCTCATCCGGGTTTGTGGGTTTGCCTTCTTGTTCTGTAGAGACGTCGCTTCGTTGGACTGGAACGGCGTGTCCGCATTTGATTACCTTTCCGAGAAACTCCAAATAATCTTTCTCCATCTGGGGCTTTCTTTCGAAGGTACGCAGCAAACTCTGCAGGCGACTCATAGCTTGCTCCTGGTTGTTTGGCATCATCACGTTCAGAGAGCGGAAGGGTAGCGGCATCTCCCAATTGCCAGATTCATTTTTGTGAATCTCTTTCTCCATAATATGAAGGAACTGGCGGTCTTCCCAAGACAAGCCGATTTCATTGTCTTCCGGAGTAGTTCGGTAAACGTCGCTCTTCGTTTTCTCTGACTGTTCCTTGATCTCGTCTTTAACTTCAAAGTAATTTGGACACGTTACTGTTCGAAATCATGGGTGGGTTTTGAGGTTGGCGTGGGCACCTTCGTGCTGTATCCTGGGTTCGATGACGGGTGTAGGTGGTGGCAGCTGTATGACTGTACTACAGGTTGAGATGTGTACTGGTCCTCCAACTCTGTCCAGACACATTTGACCAGACACCGTCCATCCTAGGCGCAAGCTTTTGTGCCCAAGGTGCACCTTTGGGACCATTTCTGAAAGCCCTGACTTTCAACAATTCTGGGACATCTCGGCCAATGAGGATACCGACCTTGGCTTCCTGGTCTAATGGTGGGATTTCTTTACTTCCTCGAGGTGGGGGTAGTGCTTTCTCGTGGTTGGAGTGGGAATCTAGGTCTTGTCCTGTGGTACGTGTTCACACTCAACGAGGTTAGGTAACTTAGCGATTCTGCCACACATCGACTTCACGAATAGCCCGGATTCTCTCCAACTGTACTTTGTTTCTTTAGCACCACTACATGTCGTAAGAAGGTATTTTTGCTTTGGGCTATCGATATCTAACAAGTCTGCTAGTTCTGGGCTTATCATTGATGCATTACTTTGATCATCCATTAGAGCATACACCCTGTGGGCGTTTTCCGGTCTGTCTTCTGCATACGCGTCTACGAGCAGGATCTTACTGCAAGATAGTCCTCCTAATCTCTCTCCTCGTTTTCTTGCTTCTCGACCTTATCTTTGTGTAATATTGTTGGATGTCGTTCGCTCTTACACTTTCCACATTTCACGTTTCCTTACATTGCTTCGCTCGATGTTTCCCGACCAGGCATCGGAAACAGAGACCGGCTTTCTTAATCCAATCAGTTCTTTCTTCCAAAGTCTTTTTACTAAAGTCTTTACACTCACCAAGTTCGTGTCCCTTTCTTTCGTGAAATGAACAGAACCTTTCATTCTTATTGTCAACACCAAACTCTTTATCGTCGTTGATGTCCTCCGCTCTTGTTCAAAACACACGATTGTCTTTTCGTCTTTCTCTCTTTGGATCTCTGGGTTGTGGATCGTTGGGGTTTAGGTGTTCACTAGCTACCACGTTCGGATGATTTTCAACCTAGCTTGCTTCTGAATCATTACCGAGAACTGGTGGAATGTGGGATAGAGGTCGTTGTTCTCTTCCGCGTACTTGACCACTTCTTTCTCCCATTTGAACCTAAGGAAACTAGGCAGGTTGTCGACAATGGGCTTTATAGCGTTCGGGTAGTTGAGGCAGGCTAGTCCCGATAAGGTGGTCATTTGGTTGTCGACATCGTCACAGACGTCAGCGAATGCTTGTAACTTTGTCTTGTCTCGAGCGGTGAATTTGGCAGAATCTCTCAGTCTCTGGAGGAGCGCGTCAGTCAGAATGGCAGTGTTCCCAAACCGTCATTCCAACTCTATCTGATGACATATATAATGATTTTTCTGCTTTATTTAGTTCAGTGCTTTTATTTTGTATTGTATTGCATTGTGAATTGCTTTTTGTGACAAAGTTCGTTGTTGTTTCTCCTCATTAACTGATTCTAGGGCATCTGAAGTAGACAAATCAATTTCTCCCTCCTGTTGGTGAACCGATGGGTTCGTAGAAGTCTCCTTAGATTTCTGTTCTTCAGAATCTATAGCTAGTACATTAACACTAGTATCCCCAAACCCCTTGGGGTTCTCCACGGTTGATCGACTGCTATTACAACTCATCTACACAAATTTCTCCACTTGCACTTACTATTTTCGTTGTTAAATACTCTCCAAAGGCGATTAAAACTTTCACTGTCGTGTTCCCAATTCGAGCACCTCGTGGGAAGAGTCGAATAGGAGTTCGTTTAGTGTTCAACCACGTAAGAGACCATAACTTTACACTTTAACTTTTAATAATCGTAGCGAAATGACATACAAATTTACATAAACATATATAGTCCTCAAATGCACGGTGAAACTACATAAAAATAAAGGAAAAATACACGCTATAACACACAAAAGGTAGATGATTGTTCAATGTCAAAAGTCTGACGACTTACGTTTATAATGTCCCCAAAATTTCTGTTATTTCTGAATATTTCTGAAAATATTTAATTTCTGTTATTTCTGAAAATATAAAATATAGCTTGTCTCTATGAAATCTGATGAAATACAACGTTCGAAAAACGTTATTCCTGTTGCTAAGGCAACCAAACCCGCGCGAGTCCTGGGCTCCACCGTTCGTATATCAACAACAATTCCCGACAACCCGACTCACGCCACATACTTCTCCGAGTCAACATCACATGATGCTACAGTATATACATATTTACAAGGGTACAAAGAGTTAGTAAGTAAGTTCTTTTTAAATATACTGTACAATTTTTTTTCTGTGTTGGTGTTGTCATGTACTCAGGTGAATATGATATTTGTGATGTTACTCTGATTGTATATCCACACCAGGCAAACTTGAAAAATATGCCTGGCCACAGTGGGAATCGAACCTACAACCTTTGGAATACCAGACCAATGCTCTGCCAACTGAGCTACGCGGTCAGGATGGTTCAAGTAAGTGATATTTCGGAACAGAATCTAGTTCCTTCGATACCAACATTGGTATACCTCACAACATCACAAACATCATACTGTATGAGTATTATGAAAATAGATTTGAGAAGTTCATTTCTAAAGGTTCTTAACACCTTTCTAGTATTATAATCCAAATCGTTGTACTCTTAACTCACTGAGCACCAGTGCTCTCCCCTTGATGAGTAAAATGGTCTGGCATTAGACAGAATAAAATAATAATGTAGTGCACATCAGGGCGCAATGCAACTCAGTGGGTTAAATAGACACATGGGCAGATAGACCAGTTAACCCATTGAGCACCAGCGCTCTCGATCTCCCCTTGACGAGTAAAATTGTCTGGCATTAGACAGAGTAAAATAATAAAGTAGGGTGCAATGCGACTCAATGGGTTAATTAATTTACAAGCCTGGTAAAGCAGTTTTTGCTTTCCCCAGTTTGCCTTCGGCATACAGAGATATATATATTGTCTCTGCATCTTGTGTTATATTAGTACCAATCATTCCTCAAACTATGCTATACCCCCCAAAACGCGGTTAATTTGGCATGTCCTCAGAACTGAAGAGAAGTTCACTTCATCTTCTTGATTCATCAGGATCCAGATACCTGGACGTCTTGTTTCTGAATACCATTTGACAACTGCTGTTCTTTCCTCATTGTCAACTTGTTGAACCAAAGCAAACCATTCCTGGTTTTCTGCACCCAAAACACAAATTGTGTCTTCAGGTTGAGGGTAAACTGGAACATGCACTTCCTTAACAAGTTCTGGGTTCTTGAAGTCCACACAAAGATAGAATGATGGATTATCAAGATCAGAAGGTTCAGGATACATCATAACCTTTCTCCTAATTCTGCATGTTGGCTGAATGCTGTCCCTTACATAGTTCCTTGCAATAAGTTGTGGTGTCTGTGTCCAAGGATGGTAGATCACATTTCCATTGTTTTAGGGTTGGGATGAAGTACTTGCCATTCACAAAAATAAAATATTTACCATCAACTGGTCCAACTTGGAAGATGTCAGAAATCTCCATAATCCAATCTTCATCTGCTGAACCAATTTTGCAGACAGTCCCTATGCTTATTTGATCTGTATCACCAACTGCATCCTTGATGGCTAGATGCTTTATGGACATCAATTGATTTGGCATAGCTTGCACATGAATACCAGAACGTGTAAAAAACCTGTTAACATCAGCAATGATGGTATCAGAGAACATCTTTCTATCCATATGTCCCACAGGCACACCATAGGACATTGCATGTTGCACTTCGGGTGAAGGATCTTGCAATTGTTGCATATCATGCAACAATGATTTACCTGCAGAAAATGACACTTTGTGCAGCATTATTGGTGGGGTTATTTCTTGCAGGTCAAACTGGTATTGTTTAACATCATTACCATATGTGGATAATGGGCCATTTTTTGCTTGATAGTCATCAAGAAAGTTCCTAATGTTCTCTCGGACTGCAAATGTCTTCTCTGGACCTTTGGCATTGTGTTTCTGACCTTTGTGCTTTAGTATTGCTCGTTCATATAGCTCACACAAGTAATTGTCCATACTTGAGTGGTGCTTAATGTCTTCTGCAACATGGACTGAATACTCCAAATTTTCAGTACAGATATGAAGCCCATAAAACTCTTCTGCTCTGATCGCATGACTTCATAGTAGTTTCTCAAGTCGTTCAATGTGGTGATTTTCCCATCCTGTTACTTGTAGTTGTGTGCTGTACAACATTTGAACAGCATCACACAGTAGCATATAGCAATCATAAGCCTTTGAGGGTATTCTTTCAGCCAATACCTCTTTTGCAACACTGCTAAATCTGTGTAGAATGAGAATAAAATGGAATGTGGAATACAATACACACAACATAATTATTTCACTCATTCTTTTTAGAGTCATGCAGACAATTCTGTTCCAATGTTATTTATTCATTTGCGGCTTTACATGCTCCCTACAGGGTGACTCGCTACACTTTTTTAAAATTAAACATTTTCTAATTTGGATATGAATTTCTGGAGAATTATTATTTGAAGAGTATCTGACTGGTTTTACGCAATAACAAAGGAGTTCAAAATTCTCGCTACTCCTAACTGCTATTGCTATGGCAACACAGACGTCATAACAGAAGGGATATTTTATGTTTAAAGTAACTCAACTTGAAGAAAAGTTCAGTTACCCCATTTTTTATTTCATAAAATGATTTCTTTTAGTATTTTGAATTATTTTCATGATTTAAAAAATTCTGTAATGGCGAAAAAATTATTATCTATAAAAATTAGAATAATAATTCAAACAGAAATTATTTTATGAAATAAATGGGGGCAATCGACCTTTTTCGAGTTATATTACTTTTATTATTAAACAAAGTATCTGCTATGTTGTGACATCATTGTTGCCATAGCAATGGCTGTTATGAGTAGATGTGTGTTAATTGTGTTATGCCAGTCAGGTACTCATTGTTGTAAAACAAATAATAATTCTCCCGAAATTCAGAGCCAAATCAGAAAATCGTTAATTTTTAAAAAATGTAGCAAGCCACCTTAAGTATTGTTAACACTTTTTGCTTTGTTATAGTCGCACCAATTCTGCATAGAACAATCATCAGTGACAGCTACATGTAATATCTGTCAAAAGAACTTCCAGTGGCATAGAACAAGTACAATTTAAGGTACATGGTATATTACTGCATGTAATTCATGCATGCACTATAGACGTATGTTACTGTACCTTTTAAATACTATAGACTTATGTTACTGTACCTTTTAAATTCATTTGACTTCGAACTTCCTAGCTTGTCTGTTAATGATCTAATTCCACCAACACCTTTTTCTTTTTCTTCCTTGGTCCAGTTAATACACTCGAGGGAATGCTTGAACTCTTCATGATCAAGAAGTCCACCAACTTCAGGATCTCTGGCATTGACTTCTTCATCAGCATTCTCTCTAATATCTGCCCACATCTTGTCTATGAACTCCCTTTTTAGCATGTTAAAAGTGAGGTGCATTCGATCAATACTCATGTCCAAAACTGGATTGAACTTGTACAATTGGAACAGAATGCTGACACCAGAAACCCCTGTTGCCGCCTGAAGTTGTTGTCGCTGAGCCTTTGTAGGTGCTGCATCTACTCTTTTCATTTTCCAGTTGCTAGATAGCTGTTCTAGGAGCACTCTGGTTTCGATAGCGCTGACCAAAATTGCCATAATAATAATGACGTTTGCATGGAATGTACAAGCCATTACCCAAACAACGTCAGCAACCAATCCTGCCACCTGAAACAGAACAGAAACAATTAACTGAATGTTATTTTGTATTATTTCAAATTTTACTATTATTCAAGTCTATACATCAAGTGCCTACAATAATAGTTTTTTGCTAATTTTTGAGTATATTTCATATTCCTAAATCATAATCAGTATCTGCAAGGTTGACTAATGACAAGATGGCAAGAAAACTTTCATGGTTGTTTAGATGACCCTATATATTAGACTTTATTAGACACCATATTACATGTAATTGGACACCATATTACATGTAATTCCTTTATAATGCCTTTGGACACCGTATTACATGAAATTCTGCCAATAATTGTATCGTTCATTTTTTTTGTTAATTTGGAATCATAATTACATGCAGTTAAAAACGATCGATCAGATCGATTGTTGCAACATTGATGTAAATTTCTGCCCACATTGTTCACAGTTGTCAACAATGTTGAAGAGTATTGTTACACCAAACCAATATTGTTGACAAGTGTGAACAATATGGCATGAGCATATAACATATTGTTCAATAATTTTAACAACAGGCTCATAATTTTTACACCTGTACATTAGTATTGGTAGAAAATGGGTTAACTGCTGTAGTATCACCAATATACAATTATTTTTCTGTTGGATCACACACTGCTATACCTGTCACGTTTTAATTACTATTTTTAGAATTTGTAATTTCGTATTCTTTTGTATTTTAAACTTAACCCCAATCCAAACCCTAACCCTTATTCCAGGCCAAACCCTAATCATAACCCTAATCCTAACACTTTCCCTAATCCAAACTCTAATCCTATTAACCCTAAAAATCTAAAAATAGCAACTGTTCCTAAATCGTGACTCATATGTATACACACTGCACATCATTCAAGATCGCCTGAATTTCAAACGTTATATTTTACAACACTATTTTCTAATAATATAAATTTCATATATACCTCCTGCATACAAAATCATTTCCTGATGAGCTTTCAAATCAGCAGTACCCAGCAACAATAATGATCGAATAGTGTGATTCCCTTGAGCAACAGAAAAATTTGAAAACTCAATGGTTTCAGGAACATGTACTTGAATGCCTGTCAAGAAAAGTTAATTTATTTCATCAATCAAAGGCTGAAGGAAAGCATCCATCTTGTGCGGGATACCTTCATTCAGTAAATGTGAAGATATAAAGCTGTACACACAAAGATTTCTTCCATGGAGTCTCATCTCCTTTCTTGTGCATGCATTGCTAATATGCAATGCAGCTATTCCTCTAGATGTTCTGTTAAAAGCATTAAAGCCATCTTCATGAAAAATGAAAGCTTGGTTTAGTTTATTTCCCTTTACCGTTTGTACAACGTGTACAAATTCAAATGAACATTCGGTACATGATAATTTGACATAATCATCACGTAGAAGTCTGTTCTCATCAGAAGCTTCAACCATTTCATCCAGCGATATTATGTTCGAACAATTTGGGCAACAAGTTGGCAAACAGCTCTCTCTCTCTCTTCATTCCAGAAGAAGGATAGTTTACGGAATCGATAGCCATTCCACACTTCCTTATAAGGCACGGTGATGTTGTCAAGGTTAAACCATTCATCCCGTTCTTCCCAATGCACCAAGTGGTCATTTAATTTATTTGCAATCGAGTCCACATTTAAGCCAAGAACATAATAGTCAGTACATTTATCTCTTACTTTGTCACAATTAGGGCATTTGTCTTCCAAAACAAGTGTTACATGATCTGTTCCGCAGCAGACTTTGTAGTGTTTTGGGTCTTTATATCCCAGTTTCCTTAACTCAATTCGATCCGCCAATATTAATTTCAGACGTATATGACGGGAAGATTAAATATTAAAGAACTTCGCGAGTATTTGCAGTAGACATACGAAAATACCACCAAAAAATTCCGCTTGATCGATACTATATATTCAGAAATATTCATATAATTTTATTGTTTCTCGCTCAATTTCAAGCGAATTTCTTACCTTGAAATGATCAACGCGGTGAAATTTATGCAAATGACACATTATCAATTTTGCTGTTGCATTTTGAATGTTCCGCCTGATTCAAATGCTCGTCTTTTTGCTTCTTTTCAACGTATAATGATAACAAATATACCAAAAGAATCGCCATCTTCCATTCTATAGCTCGGAGCAGTCTCGGGAAATTGCAAAATAATCTAAGCCTATTATGGCAATTCTCGTGATCGGAAAGTGTTCGGCCAACTTCGGACGCCAAATTCTTGGTAAGCATTACAGTTTCCTGGTAAAAGACTGCAGGAATCACTTCCGGAGTGTTTGTTTACCCTAGATACGGATTTTGATTGGCTTAGGCAGAAAAACAAATATTTTAGAGCAATTTTCCTGATTATCGCGCACGGGAACGCACAAGCGTTGAAATGTATTGTGTTGTAGTTTTGTTTGAATCGCATTCTGAAGACGTTTTTGGCTTTATTTTGCAAACTGATAGTGCTAGTAATGATGGAATGTCTTCGTATGAAGACAAGTATCTCAACTTGGCATTGGGAGTCGTGTCTGGAGTTTCAAGGCAAGTATTTGTATCATTTCTAGACAATTTCAATGTTTTGCCGTTGCCATGGCGTTGTAAATTTATTTGTATTTAGTATAGCTTCACTAGTACGACCAAGTATGTCCTCATATCGCTTTTTTGTGTTGAAATAATCGTTTCATACTGAAACTGACAAATATAAATGGTATTTTTTTATATTGTTGACGAAAATTTATGGTGTTTTAGGCATAAAAATCTCCGATTCCTAGGCGAAGTAAAATGAGCCTTGAGCACATGTTTGGTTGTTTGTTACATACATAATAGCCAAGTATTCATACTTATATCTTACTAGTTGGCTCTTATTATAATTTTAAGTGGCACCATGTCTATAAAAGTTTTTATTCGCACTGATGAATATATTGATCCTGTTCCTATCTGCTGTTCCTGTTTCATAGCCTCAGGGAAATAGAGTTCTGATGAGTCATGAGAACCCCACTCACCAACCCAGAGGGAAGGTAGGGGGATGAGTAGAGGTAGAGGGAAGCCCAGCCATTAGGACCTAAGGTTTCGAAAGCTCCCTGTCTAGCATCCCCACTAGGCCCGATAGTACATGACGGATATGATGATCCTGACGCCAGGAATGTTCTCCCAGATTTTGCTCCTCACTGACATGTCCGGGATCCATTCCGATCAACTGTGAGCTTGAGTTCATTCGGCTCAATGAACTGTGAGCTTGAGTTCATTCGACTCTTTTTTACTAAGGGAATGCTTCAGGAGGTAGTTTCCTGGCCATACCAATACATATGCCCACATACAAATAACTCAAAAGCTATCCCCATATACTAATAAAAAATGGTCTTGCAGTCCACCAACCTTGAGAGGTTGATTGCCTTTTAGTATAAAATGCAGGTTTGCTAAAGGTTGACAGTGAGATTGAAAATTATTGGAGTGTAAAAACCTTATATCATGGTCTGTGGGCAATAGACATAATTTCTCGGGTTAGGTACAAAGCGCTTATGGAGTTTGTGAATATGGTAGATCCTGTACTAAAGACTACAGCAATAAACTGCATCAACAACTGTACCAGCCGTCACAGAATATTGTCGTTGCAGACAAACACACTGTCAAATCAAGAAATAGGTTGGGGGTTAGGCAGTTCATGAAAGCTAGATGACCTACTATGTGGGGAATAAATCTGTGGGTTGCTGCAGACAATCCTAATGGTTATATTGCGACTTTGAAATTTATACAGGAAGAAGTCCAGATATTCATCGCAACAGATTTGGGTATGACGTGGTGATCTGATATCAGTTTGGTTACAGTCTTAGGTCTTTTGTAGTACAATATAAAGGAAATATTTTCACCACATAATCCAATTATGTGCTTTGGCAAACATTACTGCTTTAGCAAACATTACTGCCTTGGAAAACATTACTTTTTTATAACTACTAATTATGATGATGCCAGCCCAACAACACTTGGTCATGCTATTTGCAAATATTTTCATGTTCTAGATTGTGAAAACAATCAATTTCTAAACAAATGAGTAGTGATTATTTCAAATTTGAATAGCATGACCCAATTTTGAGGCTGGTTATGCCACTAATAACTAAAGTCAATGGTGTAATGATTATCTAAGAATGTATGTAGTAATTGCAGAAATAAAGACATTTTGCTAATCATGATTTGAGTGTTCTTTTGTGGGTATCACAGACTTATTTTGGTGCCATACTATCTTTGGAGAGTAAGAAATATTGGAAATTTGTATTGATAACATGTTGCAGCAATAAAAAAGGACCTTTGATAAAGGTATTTGTTTCATGTGAGCACAAAATGTAAATTTTACTCCACTATCTAGTTTATATAAAAATTCAATAAAAATATTTCTATTTATGCTACATGCATGAAACTTCGGGTACTTGTAGATCATAACCGTGTCTTTCAGTCATATTCATAAATTTTTTTGACATATTTGAAATTTGGACCGCTAAATACATTTATGCATAATTGCGACATTTTTTTATATCATAATTTATGCAAATTTATGCAAGTAAATCGTTAACCAAGCTCCGGATGAAATTGAAATTATCGTTGGAAAGCAGAAGTCCTCCTCTTTCGAACGATGCCATTTCTGTTTCCGTGCGATGTATAATTTGAGAGATATAAGCGTTTGAAACAACACCACTCGAAATTGCTACTTTTCGACCGGATGAGAATGAGTTAAGAACATCATTACCATGTACCATGTCTTGTGTGGTATGTGATTATCTTCGGTAAATTCATACAATTACATAATTGGCTTAATGTCTCTTCCTGTGACCAACCATATTTTATTTTTACATCAAGTATTCTCAAGATACACTTTTCCATCTCCAGTTCTATCTCATCTTCACTGAAATCACTATTGCTACCGTCACCACTATCATCACCTAGCGTATCCCTTAAATTTGTTCCCTTCACTATATCACAATAACAACAATTTCCGCATTGTTTGGCGCTTTACGGTCAAACAATGTAACTTAATAGAAGCACGATAATGTTATGAGTTATTTGAAGCGGAAAAATATGTATAATTATGTATAGTATGTCGCGAAGGGCAATTCATTTCTGACAAGGTTTTTTGCATATGTTTAAAGCCTTAAGCGGAACGCATGTAAAGTGTGTTGAGTGTTCCTATTTTGAAAAGTAACAGAAATGTAAAAGGAACAAACTGTTCCCACCTGCATTTTATCGTTCCCTTTGCTTTATGTTTCGAAATTTGGAACCAATTAAATTAGGAACACCAAATTGATTCCTTTCCATAGTTCCGCTAATGAACTCTGGAAAGTTCCACAAAGCAGAACGTCTTTCCAACACATTCTGTTTGTTTGGTTATATGTTTGTTGCCTTTTAAGTTTGTTCCCTTTTAAGCTTGTCCCCTTTTAAGCTTGTTCCTTTTAAACTTGTTCCCTTTTGAACCTGTTCCTATTTAAACTTGTTCCCATTTAAGCTTATATGCAAGCAGAACGATATTTTATATGCCTTGCTTTGCTCGTTCCCCAGAGAAGCACCACAATATTATATAGCAACGCCATAAATGGTTATAAGACATGTTACAAAACCTGATGTATTTGAACAACAGCCCAAGAGGGAACTGTGGACATTTTAATATAGTTTTAATGATAAATCCTTGCCAACAAATAAACAAGCCGTTAATTTATTTAAAAACGGAATACTATAAAAACGGAATACTATAAAAACGGAATATTAATGGTGTATTATTCGGAACAATAAAGTCCGAACAATATCACAAAGTTGGCCAGGGTGTAACAAAGGAAGTATAGGTTTAACATAGCATTAAATGAGAAATCTCATTTAACACACTCTGCATACTAATCTTGGGTTGGCAATATAAAAAGCAAGGAACTGTCGATCGCTGCATATTTGTTTGATTCTCATGTCTGCACGTAAGAAACATGTATTGACTGGAAGACAGTAAACGGCGCATTTTCAAAATCGAGACGACTTCATTTGGTCCAAGGTAGTGATGGTTTGACCGTTGTCCAATACTTAGCTGCGATCATCCAGGGTTCGCAAGCCGAAGAGGCTGTCGTAAGCATGTTAAAACAATACATGCCTGGTATTACTATTTCGATGAAAAGCCAAATGTTGCCGTCGATACTTTGGTCATTTCTGCTACCCCAAATGTTGCAAACGGAAAAGGTTCAAACGTCCCGAGTTGTTCGACAGACAACGACTTCGCACGGTCGTTCTCGCAGTGGCTACAAAGCAGTTGTGGCGGGGGAAAATCTCGTAAAAAAATCGGACATTTCAGTATCGAGAGCCTTGAAGTTTGTAAAATTGTGCTGCGACCAGAGTGCCGAGGCGGAAGATGACGTGCTCTCCTCTACCAATTTCATCGACTACATCTTGGGATGCCCCCAGCTTTTGACAAATTTTGTTGACAGTCTGGACACAAAATGGGGTATTGGACAATCTGGACAGATTGCTTACGTGACAAGCATATCGGACTTACTGGATTTTCGAAAGTTCAATTCACCGCCCTCATCTGTTCTTCAAAACTTTGCCGTAACCGAGGTTTATGTGAAGAGAGCACGAAAGTGTTTGGCGAAGGACATGCGATCAAATTGGACAACTGATTTATACATAGAAACGCTGGAATCGCATCGAAGTTGGGCAAGCCTTCCGTGATTCCATTTCACAAGGAACGTTACCAATCTGTTTTAGAAATGTGCATGGAAAATCCTGATTCAGTAAAGCCTTGCGACGTAACGTTTGCCACACGATTCATCGCGGTATACTTGTTTCTCAAAGTGAAAGGTTGTAGGCCCATGACGTACCAGGATCTAACTCTAAGTATGTTTGAAAGTGCAAGAAGAAATGACGGAATGGTAGATCAGAAAATTTTCAAGACGGCCAAAAGATACGGTTTCAATAGCGTATACTTCGACAAGGTTAGCATCAATTTTTTAGAACAATATATTACGTATGTCAGACCTCTTTTAAATATAGGTTAAAAGCCAAGGGAGAGGTTTTTATTAAACTGTGAAGTTTAATAAAACTTTACAGTTTAATAAAAACCGATACCCGCGGCTTTTAACTTGTTTATATACTCATCAGACCATATTCTTTTGAATTTTGGAGGTTTTCTTCATTAAAAATTCAAGCTATATTAATTCAATGAGAGGTTGCTGCAGTTGTGGGACGAAATAACTAGGTGTAACATGCGCATTAACACGCTTTAAAATGTGGTTAAGCATGCGCAGTATATCATTTCACGTCCCACAAGCAAAAGAGCAGATATTACTGTATAAATTCCCTGCACAAGCATGTTTGATGGTTGATCCAGCTAGTCCTCGTGCGCCGAATGATAGATACTCTTACCTAATGGTAGAGTTTTGACGGGCTCTGAGGTACACGGCTGTTGTCTGTTTCTCGACTTTAGAGACGTGCAACGTTTTCTAGTCGAAAAGGAGACTCATGCCAGGTCTTGAGTTGAAAATGTAAAACCAGGTAACTGGTTATTATTTTTTCGTAATAACCGGGTAGCAGGTTATTACGGAAAAATAATAACCTGGTAGCAGACTAGCAGGTTATTCTTTTTCCGTAATAACCTGCTACCCGGTTATTATTTTTCCGTAATAACCTTCAACCCTGTATTTCCCCAGGAGAAATCAAATACCACCGCCTGCTTTTAGACTGAAGGTTATTACGGGGGAGTTAAAAACCGACGAAATACAAAAGAATATGGTCTGATGAGTTTGTAAATCCTATTTGCGACTACATTTTAGTCAATCGAAATGGGAAACAATTTCAGAAACTTACAGACCTTTTGAGTGTGCTAGTCTTCGAAGCCATCGGAAAGTACATCCACCCTACCAGGTACAGATAATTGAAACCGAAAGCTGTGTGGCACTTTTGCTAAATGAACAAAAGTGGATATCAGAAGACCAAAAACACAGCTCGAATGTGGCCCGTGTTCACTATCAAAAGAAACGGTCTCGCCAAGTAGCAATCCGAGGACGCTGGTGCATGAGAAAATTAGCCCAGACAGAACGTAAGACAGTGAAAAGCGACGTGAATTCCAACATGGAAAATGAGAACGATGTGACTAACTGTTTTCATGGACCGGTTTCAGAAAACGACAACGCCACAGATATTGCGAGTAGTTCGAGAGAGAAATCGTTTCAGCGCCGTGCTGGTATCCGATTCACAGCCGAAGAGGATGAGTATGTTAAGATTGGCATGAACAAATTTGGCTTACGTTGGTCCAAGATACTGCGTTATCCGAATTTTAGTTTTAATCCCTGTCGAGTTCCAAACATTTTGCGAAAAAGGGCAGAAGCGTTAAAGTTAGTGTGATTTTCAACAATACTTTGCATGAATTTATGAAAACATTGCGATAGAATGTAGATGTGTAAATAAACGAATAAAATACACTTTCCTGTTTTTGCGTTTCATCAATTTTTACTTTAGTACAATCTAAATTTGCGCAATTTGAACTTATTGATATGCAAGACAGCTGGCTACCTGGCCACCATAATAAAACTATAGTAAAACGCCTGGCTACCACCTGGCTACCTGTATAACAAAGTATTTACAAATTTCAAAAGTGAATTTTGCAAAACTTATTATTATGCAAAACGGCTGGCTACCTGGCTACCATATAAATCTATAATAAAATGCCTGGCTACCATAATAAAACAGCTGGCTACCACCTGGCTACCTGTATAACATAAAGTATTTACAAATTTCAAAATTCACTTTTAAAATTTGTAAATACTTTGTTTTACAGGTAGCCAGGTGGTAGCCAGCTGTTTTAATATGGTAGCCAGGTTGTAGCCAAGCGTTTTACTATAAGTCTAATAAGGTAGCCAGGTAGCCAGCTGTCTTGCATATCAATAAGTTTAAGTAAATTGAAGTAATACAATTCAAATTTCAAATTCATTTAAACTTATTATTATGCAAAATGGCTGGCTACCTGGCTACCATATATAAACTATAATAAAACGCCTGCAAAGCACTCCTTGTCGAATGTAAAGTTTTTATTGCACGGAAATTTACATACTGATGACAACTCAAGCATGTTCGAAACAATTGATTTTGACATCTGTGAAGCCCCTATTGTAAGTACAGAACCTGTAAACAAACAGTTAAACAATGGAAGTGAATCTCCATTAATTGAAATTGCAAATTCGAAGGAAATTGATAATAATGATTCATCAAGCCGCACACATATTGATAATCTAAGTCGACAAAGCTACAACAAAAATTCAATTATTAATAGTAATTAATAGCATCAATAATGGCGATATTCATGAAGTTAGTATTTTGTCGAAAGAACGAAAAATTCCAGTAAGAATTACACAGCGCAGAGACAGGAAAAATAAACCGAAGAATATTAAAACTCGTAACACCACGCGTCATCGACTGGGGTTTCACCCCAATTACAACAACAGATCAATGGTTTGGGCCAATCATTTAGATCTTGTTCGCATGGTGATGCATGGAACGTTGGTTTAGGATCGTATAATTCATCTTTCCAGAAGAGTAGGCCTGTAGCTAATATTAAAAGGGCAAATATGGAAAATTGTGTCAGAATTAAAATAAGTAAAACCCAAATTGCCTTGTCCAGCAGAGAGAACTTAATACGTTTTGCTAGTGTTAATGCAAGATCTCTAAAAAACAAATCAGCAGAATTTGTTGATCATATATTGGGGAACAATATTTACATATGTGTAGTCACTGAGACTTGGCTAAAAGACATAGATTCTGTTAGTATTGCGGCGTTGTCTCCAGCCGGCTACTATTTTAAAAGTTTCCCACGGCAATTTGATAGAAGGGACGGCGGAACTGGTGTAATGTGTAGCAGCCGTATTAAAATCAAGTTTCTTAATGGGGATGAAAAACATTCATTCGAATATTCAGAATGGAACTGTAAAGTGTCCAATAAAGCTATTAAAATTATTGCGGTTTATCGTCCACCATATTCCCAGAGTCATGCTGTCACTTCGAATATGTTTTTTGAAGAATTCTCCTCATTTCTTGAGAGCATTGTTATGTGCCCTGAAATACTTTTAATAACTGTAGACTTTAATTTTCATCTCGATGATATAGCAGATAAAGATAGTAGAAAATTTATTGAAGTTCTGGAAACATTTGGCCTCATATACAACATGTTAAGTTTCCAACTCATATATCCAATCACATATTGGATCTTATTATCACGAGATCATCTAGTGATGTCATAATTGGCGAAATACAGGCTTCTTTTTTCCTATCCAACCACTGCTTTGTTGAGTGTAGTTTGTCTGTGCTACTCTCTCTCTAAAGTTCGTAAGGAAAATCCCTTGCCACCACACACTGACTTAGGTCAACTTGCGAATGACTTTGGAGAGTTCTTCCACCGAAAGATCGAACTATTCAGAACCGAAATTGATGACATTCCAGTACAACCTCCATCAGTTGAATATGAGCCACCTAAAGTTGAACTTACATTATTTCGCCAGTTAAAAGAAGAAGAGATTCGCGATATTATAATGAATTCATCGAATGCTACTTGTAAATTGGATCCTATTCCAACTTGGCTAGTGAAATTATGCATCGATGAATTGAAAACTGTAATCACGAAAATTATTAATATGTTATTACATGATGGCTATGTTCCTGAAGCATGGAAAGTTGTTCTTCTGGTACCTATATTAAAGAAACTTGGTCTTGAAGCTTTATTTGAAAACTTTAGACCTGTAAATAACCTCTCATTCGTGTCAAAAATTGCGGAAAAAGCAGTTGTCGGTCAGATGCTTAACCATTGTGAAGATAATGCACCTCTTCCCACTAACCAATCAGCTTATCGCCCATTTCACTCAACCGAAACAGCTCTTGTCAAAGTTCAAAGCGATATTTTAATGAGCATGGATCAACGAGAGGTAACGCTACTTGTACTGCTCGACCTGATACGGTGGACCACGAAATCAGGTTAGAATTATTAAAATCAAATTTTGGCATCAGTGGTGACGTGCTTGGATGGTTAAAATCTTTTCTGCCAGACAGAAAACAGTTTGTTTCTGTAAACCAAGTGCTCTCAAATAGTTTTCCTGTGACCTGTGGAGTTCCGCAAGGAAGCTGTCTGGGACCGATACTTTTTCTATTCTATGTGTCGAAATTATTTGAAATTATCAAAAAGCATTTACCATCTTCCCATGGATACGCTGATGATACCCAACTGTATTTATCTTTTTGTCCTGAGTCACCTGTTTGTCAAAATGATGCAGTCAAGGTTGTCGAAGCATGTATAACTGAGGTTCGTGCTTGGTTGGTTTCACAGAAATTAAAATTCAACAATCTTAAGACAGAATTCTTAATAATTGGCACTCGCCAACAGTTAAAAAAGATAGAAATTAACTCTGTACGAGTAGGCGATGTGAATATCAAACCAGCAGAAAGTGTTCGGGATTTGGGTGCTTGGTTTGATAAAAACATGTCCATGGATGTTCACATAGGAAAGGTATGCAGCAAAGCATTCAGATGTTTATATAACATCAGACAAATAAGGAAGTTCCTTTCTTAGGAGGCGACCAAAACTCTTGTGCACGCATTTATAACGTCACATCTAGACTACTGTAATTCTCTATTGTTTGGGACCCCTCCGTATCAGTATCAACGCTTACAAAGAGTTCTAAACACCGCCGCAAGGATAATATGCTATACACCCAGAACTTCTCATATTACTTCAGTTTTAATGCATCTTCATTGGTTACCAATAAAGTTTCGAGTGGAATTTAAAATTGGTTTATTAGTGTATAAAGCCCTAAATGGAATGCCACCTCAATACATCACCGACTTATTGTCATTTAAACCCGAAGGCAATTACCGTTTAAGATCAGATGATTATTCGTTGCTGCAAATTCCCAAAACAAACTCAAAAACACTTGGAGATAGATAATTTAAGCATGCTGCTCCTCTAATATGGAACTCTCTCCCACTTAACATTAGGCAGTGTGAAACTGTTAACTGTTTTAAAACTCATTTAAAGACATTTCTATTTAGGAAGGCATTACGCTCTGCGCATGTCTGGATGCGTTGAGTCACCGTGTTGTACCACATGCCTTGGTGAGAGCAAGTTCATGGGGTATAAATACGAGTGTCTCACGTATCTAGACGTGTACCAAGCTGCACTGACGAGGCGTTGAACGCCGAAACATGCATGTCTGCAGATTGTACTATATATATATATATATATATGCCCTCAATTTCATGGTCGCCTCTTGTAGTGGAGTGTCGAATTCGGAACAATTCACTACGACCACACGGCATGGACATGTTGGATAACATGGGCGACACATTGATGGATGTGCATCCTCTTCGCTGTCTTCCGCTGACATAGTTCGCTGGCAGTTTGCCAAACAATACTCGTTCGAAGTCTTCAGCATGTCCATAATTGGCTGGCTATTGTGATCTTTCACGACCGAGAATAATTGTCGAGAGGCAGTTTCCATAACATTGCTATTTCCATTTGCCCTGGTGGTGATCGGTTGGACGGTAGCGTCGGTCTCCTCGTTGTGCAGTAAGGTGTAGCGTTGTGCAGTAAAATTGGACGCCACTAACTTTGGTCAGTGCATCCTCCAACTCGAGCCTTTTGCTGGCAATAAGATTGTGTGCCATTTGTCGGTCTTCCCTTCTTTCATGCCATGTGGCTCTGCAGCTGATTGCCTTTAAATCACCCTTGACCTGAAAGGTATTGGTGTATACCAATAAGTTAATGTTTACATAATGATTTAGTTCTTTGTAATGGTACGTACTAGCTGTACTGTAGGATGGAACATAGTTCTTAGTCTTACCATATGTTGTAACATGCACATGTGGCAATTCATTCTTATGGGAATGCGATAGTATGTGCAATTAAACTATCTATCTATCTTCTATACAAGGCCTAAATAATTTACATGGGGAAAATATTGCAATTGTAAATAACGAAAAGCGACCAAAACTTACCAGTGGCAATATATTTGCTCTTAAAGAGTTTCGCACTCTTTTGGACGTTAGTTCTTTCCGTGGCCGTCGAGCCGCCATAGTTTTTGTACACAAAAATTCTTCGATTAGCTTTAAACTTCTAAATACTACAAGGTTTGCATTCGTTCACGAGCAGATGAAATGAAAATGAAATTAGGCGTCTACATTTCCTTTATTCATTAATAAAACGTTTAGCTTTTATGTATTTGCATATAGGAACAATAATTTGTGACTTTGGTCACTGCCACCCAAATCATTGCCATCACTTCCACCAGCATCACCACCATCACTGTTATAACCACTTCCATCCTCACCACTACTGCTATTGCTACCATCACTGCTATCATCCCCATTGTCACCATCATTATCATCATTTTCACCATCATCATCACCATTGCCACCATCATCTTCACCATTGCCACCATCATCATCACCATTGCCACCATCATCATCACCATTGTCACCGTCATCATCACCATTGTCACCATCATCATCACCAAAGTATAAAATATTGTTCCTCTCATGCGTGACAACGCAAACGTATATAAATAACACGATCGCTTCAAACAAAAATAGACCTAAACACCACTTAACGCTTAAACAAGTTCCTTACACTGGTTACATCGTTATGCCTCCTAAGCCAAGAAAACTAGATTGCAGAACTCTCTTCGTTCCAATATACTAAACCTGGTAGGTGTAATATGTTTAATGCCATTCACACGTACGGCTATTGTATTACTCCATCATGTGTTGAACGATTTAATATTCTTAGTGCGTAGGTTTTATAATCTTAGTATATTTAACTGTTTGTGGTCATAATATATATACATCTACCTTATAGATTTGGTAATTGTTTTTTCTATCATAACTATACTTGTATTTTTAATGTAATAACCAATGTTTATGGATGAATTTCAACTGTTTTGATCGAATTTCTTAATAGTAATGCACGAAAACATTGTGCAATGCTAATATATATTTTGTACAAATTGTTGTATCCATATAGATTTCTGATAATTTTCGAGCAGTGGCATGTCGTGCGGTTTGGAAAGTCAGCTCGGAAGATGTCGAACTAGCCAGACTCCAAATAGCTTCCAAACGTTTGTGTCTTCACAAGGTGTTATCGTGCACACAAGGTGTCCAATTTATTTCTTGTGCGTTACATGCATGATGTCCAATGGTAAGAGCGCCCAAACGTCCAACGAAGAGTCAGCAAAAGCACAAAGCTACCCCGGCATCGCCTTTTTTATTGTATACAAGGAATGCGAGACGTGCAGCGAGGAGATCCTGTTCTCTGCCCTTCACAAGGAAGATATGGAATTGGAAATTACACCAATCCGAGTTCGATCCAAGGAGATGGAAAAGGCCGCGAAGCAACTGTTTAACGTAGTCAAAGATCACAATAATCCGACAATACAGGACATGCTAGATGTTTCTAATGTGTACTGTTACAGGAATGTGCAAGATTGGTCGTCTGACAGCGATGAAGATGACACCGAAGTTGAAGAACTGTTGCAGTTCGGATGCGTCCGTTTTCCCGTCGTCCCATGTTGTCTTGTAGTGGACAATGTCAATGATTTTCACGACCAATTAAACACTTCTGTCGCAAGGCTTGAATCCGATGGTCTCGTTGTTGATCTGGCTGAAACGCGTGTACTTGACCCCACCACCTCATGTTTGTCTTCCAACAATGACGTGACTAAGACCATCTTTAAAATCCAGAAAGTTATGCAAATCTGTAACCACGGTCTTTACAAATCTCAAATATACGTCAAACCAGACAAAGCCACCATGACCTTTGTCCATATGATGGACGTGATGAGCTATCTCCATCGTCTTAATGGCCAACGAAGAGTTACGTGATAAACTTGTCCAACATTTCTACATTATCGAAAAGTTTCTGTCACACGCTGCATGCGAAATATTCCGCAACTCGAGTTCGAGCTGGACCTGATCGAGGTGTTGAATGGGTACTGCTTCTCAATCAAATCGCGATGCTTCATTCCCTGCCCCATTCCCACATCGATGATCGGCAAAGTGTCCCCAAGATCTTTTGTGCCCTACGACCACTCCACTCCTCCGCAGCCACGGTATTTCAAGGAAGGCATCTTAAATTTCTTTTCTGATGAGGGCGTACATGCCAACTTCCTGAACAAGTTTTACCAATGTCTGTTGGCGTTCAACATGCCACACAAAGTCAAGAAGTTGGTTGTTGCCGGACCCAAGGACTCGGGAAAGACCTCATGGTCCAAAATCTTTCATCGCCTCATACCCGCCAATTTTATTGCTTCCTTTACCAACGAGCGACAATTTTCTGCGGCAATGATCACGAATGAGACTCAACTAGTTATCGTTGATGAATGGTCCGCAACCAGGATGGAGTCGGATCTGGCCAAGTGTATCCTGCAAGGAGGCTGGATGGTTACTGCAGTCAAACACGGTCTACCGAGGACAATTCTTAATAACAGTCCCTACTACATCACCACCAATGAAGTGCCAGACTTTGGGAAAGACAATGAAAATGTCAAAAGAAGAATTGCAATTTTCACCACCACATCGCTTCCATGAACACGGACAGGTATTGACCGATGGCTTTACGATCATGCCATGGATTGTGTCGCTTGGATCGCCAATGAAATCAACAACAACCGACATCTCCTGCCACAAGACGAGCTATAGTACGAGCAAACCCAGACACCGACGTTTACGATCAGCGCGAAGGAGGGAGAATCTTTGTTCGATCATTGCCAACTAAAGCAAATATCTCACACAGATTTACGTTGTGAGGACAACAGAGATGATCACGAAACCGGACCTGCAATTCGCGAAAGCTTCACAGCCGAAGCAAGAGCCAGACGATTACGACGAAAGAGACGTGCTGCTCGGACGTCGCCATGCGATCAGAAATCGACAGAATCAGAAATGGACATTGGCCGAACTGTGGTCATAGAACGTGAAACATCACAATCAATATCAGGGAATTGCAACAACATCCTCCAACCATTCCTGAAACGCAAGAACCCGAGACGTTCCAACCACCGTCCAATATTTCTCCCAGCAGCAGCGACCAACTGCCCGAAGTTGACATGCATCAATCGAAAGCAAGGGAAAATCCACCAGCCTCGGACATTGAGAGGGATGAGGCAGAGACTGTCCAACCGCCGTCGAATAGTTGTGATACCGTCCAAGTACCTGAAAATGAGGACGAAATGTAAAGCTCTGGGGAAGGACTGTCCAGCCTGCAGATGGCTCGCTCTTCACCAACAACTGTTTGGATGCTGAACAGCAAAAGATATATGGGGAAGCAACCTCGTTCCCAGGGTCTCTCCTTCTGTCATCTGGGAGAGACCCTGGCTGTGGCTGGTCACGTGCCTCCCAGATTCTGGGAGGTAAATTTAATTGTAACTGTGAGAGTACGGTGGCCCACACCAGCAACACAGAAATATAATAGAATTGCGGAAAAATATTTCTTATTACTGATACATCATAAATATATAAAGAGTACAACAAATATATTTTCAGTACGCAGAAATATTTCTCAGTACGCAGAAATATATTTTCAGTACGCAGAAATATTTCTCAGTACGCAGAAATATTTCTCAGTACGCAGATATATATTTCTCAGTACGCAGAAATATTTCTCAGTACGCATATATATATTTCCAGTACGCAGAAATATTTCTCAGTACGCAGATATATATTTTCAGTACGCAGAAATATTTCTCAATACGCAGATATATATTTTTCAGTACGCAAAAATATTTCTCAGTACGCAGATATATATGTTCAGTACGCAGAAATATTTCTCAGTAAACAAATTCATACGAAATTGAAGGAAATTTTCTTAGCAAAAGAGGAAGCACCGCCTAAACTTCACACGTGAGCAAGATGGCCGTGAATCAGTCGAGCGCGAAGTTGTGCTCCAATTGTGGATTTTCTTTGGAAAAAAAACTTTTGTTTTTGCCCAAAGTGTGGAAAAGACATAAAAAATAATGCCAACGTCAAAGAAGATGAAAAGGTCAAGACTGAAATACCCTCCGACAATGCAAGTAGTAGCAGGAGATTCGCAATGCCAAGGTTTTCCTTGCCAAGCTTTCGCGCCTTTAAAGCCAAGAAAGAAAGTGAACGACAAAATTCGTTTTCCAAAAAGAGTGCCACTATTAACAAGAAAAGAAAAATAGAAGACAAAGTTACTATACAAGTTGGTGTAATGGATGAATACTTCAAAGTAAAACGGGGGGGAAACGATTCCGTTAAAGATTTCTTCGACCGCCTCAGCACATACGATTCTTGCAGCAGCGATTAAAAAGCATGGTGATTTTAACAGGCGTTTTGAGAATGACAATGGAAACAACTACATGTTGGTTTTCAAAGATGGCGGCGATATTGAGTTTATTCCAGGCACTGACCCACCAGAGCCATTCACTTTACAGCGGTATACAGAAGTATCAGGATTTGGGTATTCTAGAATATATTTATATCTTTTACCCATCTTTGACGAAGCTGAGCCGGATAGATTGAGTATTAGTGACAGTGAAGATGAAAAGGATGAATTGCCAGCAGTCACTTGGTTAACAAAGAATGCTATCTCACAAAGTAAGATATTGAATTTGTATATTAATGCACCTATCAATGTTAAGCCCCAGAGGGGGGGGGGTCGGGCATAGGTTGGGCATTTGATTTTTTGAGCAAATTCTCAATCAAATGCCCCACCGTCAGGCAATAAATATTGGTCAAATACCCCACCATTTTGCAATAAATTGCAATAAATACTATATTAATAAAAGTCATTTGGTTCAAATTGCCCCAACTTGGGACCAAAATGCTAATCACAATTGGGGATGCAATTGATGATCAAATACCCCACATATGCCCAACCAACCCCCCCCCCATCTGGGGGTTAACATTGATAGGTAATACCATTCATTTTTGATTGAAATTTCATTTCCACTCTAATATGTATAGGGCCATTCGGCCCATTCCATTTAATGTACACACCTCCATATGGACGAGTTCAATAAAATTTGAACCCTAAGAAAAAAAGATCAAAGTGCCGACACAAACACACACACCCCAGAAAATAAGAAATTTTTTGCCTTACCCCTCAGAAAAAACGCAAAGATCAAAGGATGCCGATGCACACAACCCCTCAGAAACAGCTTTTTCAGACCCTCTCAGAAGTTCTTGTCCATAGGGGTGTGTGTATATTAAATGATGGCCCATATGTATATAAGTAACATCAGGGGCATAGCCCTCCGGGGTAATTGCAGATAAATTTCCAGCAGATTTTCAGGTAAATTCAGGTAATTCTCAGGGCATGAAAAGTGAATTTTGTGCTCTGATCAGAATTAATGGTCAGTAAGTAACATTGTCAATTGATCAGTAGTTACTTATCTTCATTGTTAGGCAGTACTAAAATATTGAAATATGAATATTGAATACCATGATTTGCATACCGTTTGAAAGTATTTGATATTTATCAGGTCATCAGGTGGCCAGTTTGTAATGGTATATGGTTGTATTAATCCACATGCCAGCAGAAAATAACACTTTAACCGGCAAATGTAAACAAATATACAAAAATACACACCTATGAAATAACCTTAATTTTTCATTGCTTGAAAACTAGAACATTAGCACTTAAAATTTTGTTTTAATTTAATTATTCATGAACTTCCCAGGAGAGACTTGCTAACTCCGAAAAGAACTTGAAACTGTATGGGTCTATTTAGACATACAATGACATAATATAGACACAATTGCCAATGTTCAGGTGTTTTGAACAAGACCCTTGACGCACGACCCATGCTAAATATAGACAATCTCGTCTAAGGCAGGCAATTTTTGTTTATCCTAGGCAGTGATGCTAAAGATGCCACAGATGCCACAGAAACCATGTAAGTGTGTGGTACTTATTTAAACTATAGACATATTTATATTATGTTCTACATAAGAAATTGATCAACTAACAGAACTGCTCAAAAACTGTACAAAAACCGTCCATAATAACACCAAGACATGGATTATTATTAAATTGTTTTTAGCTTGTAACAATAAAAACTTTTATGATTATAGTATGTTATGTCATTTTTAATTCATGGTTTCTGTATTGAACCTTTCAACTTGATGGCACCATGTACTGCATATAGATATCATTTTATTTACTTACTCTAGTACTTACAGGTATTAGAGAGACAAGTGATCTAGCTAAAACATAAACAAGCCATATACCAATTAATCAACTGAGTTGTCCTGGTTCAACTGTCACAGTGTGAAAAACTATACAATACTTGATGGTAACAGTTGTAAATCATTTTTATAGTGACCCATGGTCAGTGGTTGATAGTGACAATGAAGATGATTGTTTGGCTTCAGTTATTCCAATGCAGATGAATGGGTATTGTATTGTAATGTTTAACCTTATAAGTGGCTTTGCACACAGTGAGGTATGGTTTAATTAAACCAAGCTTGAAGCTGCATTGCCTACTGTGAGTGAGTACTTTTTACATTCTGTGTAATGTGAGTCTGACAATTACTATCCCCAAGGGAAAATGCTGTCAATGGATTATAAATTTACCATAAAACACTGTGTTTTTACCATTCATGACAAATCAAAATCTACAGTAAACAAAGGTTTGATTAAATTTTATTGACTCCTGCCATTCGGTGTAATAACATATGTCCAAAAATAGAGTGTTGAAATGCATTTGCTTAAATGTCATGCAGTTCATATGTTTGATTGATAGAGACGATGTTCCGACCAGCACTGCTGCTGTGTTTGATGTAGCCCTGCTGTTGAACAACCATATTGGTTCAGTTTTGTTATTTTCTGCAAGTGTGGTACTGGTTATTCGAAGATCCAAACCATGGAAGAGCTATATTAGAGAGATGACACAACAAAATGTTGATGATACCATGGATTTTGAGGTAGAACTAATCTTCCAACCTTCTGAATTAAAATGACTGGGCAGTATCGGGCATATCTTGTGTGCCCCTCCCCCACACCTAATGATTTAAGAAGTTCGAAATTTTGTTCTTAAATCTTAACATTTTGAACTAAAGCTTTGAAGTAAATTAATGCAGTTTTGTGGCTATAGTCACTATGGTACAGTATGTTACACATAATAAAGATGTAACTGGATGTGAAGGAAAATATTGTTGTCAGGTCGAGCATTTGACGATTCTGTGTTTTCAATTCAATTTTGGAAATTGTCGTTCATGCCATGGCACCATTTTTATATGGTTCTATATACCTTATATTTTTATTTTTATATATAAGGAAAATTTAATTTGCATTTGCATTGCTGATTGTCTTGACTGAACTTGTTGCTGTTTGATCATTATAGGGTCTTAAGTGCAACAGAAATTTACATGCAATTTAATGATTTTATTTTTGTTTGTGTTTATAGGTCAAGTTTACTGATAGCATGGAGACAGTTGATGACAAAGGCCCAAAACGCGAATTCCTAAGGTTACTTAGGAATGACGTTATTAGACGCTCAGGGTTGTTTCAGGAGACAGCAAAGGTGGGAGCGTATGTTCTGACACACAATGCTGATAAACTTAATAACCACGAGTATTATATGGCTGGAAGAGCATTCACTATGTCATTAATCTTTGGAGGAGATCCACCAACAGTTCTTTCACCATCGATTTACAGTTATATCACTGTTGGCTATGATAAGACCACACCAACTATAGATGAAGTCCCCTATGGTCCACATAGAGAAATTCTTCAGAAGGTGAATTTTACATTCATATCAGTACAAGCCTATAAATGATTTTGTGACACATATACACTGGTCAAACAATATACCAGGAGTTTGCGTTTTCTTTAGTTTTATTATTCACGATGCGAAATACAAGGAACTTGCTGCCTGTAATGTTGTTATTTCCCAGCGCTCTATGAATAATGGCAACTTTATTTGTTTTAGCTCCTGGATGTTGACAATAATATAGCCCTTTCTAAACTTGTTAAGGAGGAAGCAGTCACCGAGCTCTGATTGATGCAGGCTACCAGAACTTGTCGTTTAAATTAAAAGATATTGAATGTATTGTGAATAATGTTGTTAAGTTTTTGGTGATTGGTAAATGCAGGTAATGAAAAGAATCTATAAATAGAACAAAGTGTGGATAAATTTCATTAAAACAGACAATGTTTATAAAAAGTTATTCAGTATTTACTCCGCACCATTGCGGAATAAATAAAAGTTATGTACACTATAAAATATTTTCATAGATGTACAGTACCCGTGTATTGTTTTTGCCATCACTATAAACTGTTGCCATGTAGGATACTATATTGATCTATTGTATATTACCAAAAATTACGCACTAATGCACAGTAGGAATGTTGAATGTTCGTCTTTCTGTATATCCAGTACAAAGGAAACGTAGCTGAGAGAGACTGGGTATAAAGGAGCAAGGATAAATTTCAACGTATTTTTGCATGTACTCTACTGAATTATCGAAACCGTGAACTAAAATCGTAGCATGTCGCTGTAAAATGAGCTCATCAATGATCATTCATGGCATACGGATGAAAATTCTAGAGTACTTGAAACGAACTGCTGTTCAAAGATTTTGACGTACATTTTTGCTTAAATAATTTCTTGTGTAGAAATGAACTGGAAGAGTTCTGCAAAGGCTTGCAGCATTATAGTGTGTTGGAGCTCATCAGGATGCATGCGCTATCATTCCGATCTGTATTTGTTCATGGTGAAGCGGTGCAAGATGATGTTTCCACCAACTATATAATCGATACGTTTTGCCACAGTTCAGTAACGTTGGAAGCAATAGGAGGGAGAAAGAAGAAGATGTATACCAATTATGGGTGTCTTTTGTTAGAAGCACGACAGGTTGTAACTGAGTCAATTAACAATATTATAATTCTCATTTTTCCTGGGTAGAGTTATTTATCTTGCTTGGGTTTATAGTGGGTCACAAGTGCACAATATGGTTTTATTGCTGATTTTATTAATAAAAAGTTTTCAATCTGTTAAAACAGTAATGAAATATATATTGCTACAGTATATGTACAAAGAGTCCCAGTATATGCCCCCACCATTGTTGGTTTGCCTGTAAGGGGTGGACCATTAGAAATCCCGGGAGGGGGGGGGGGTATAAAATTTTTGCGACACGAATTTTTTTTCAGTCTCATGTCTCTGCAGGAATTTTTTTAATGCATTTAACCTCTGCACGAATTTTTTTTCAAGACTATTTGTGCTGTTTGCTTGCACGAATTTTTTTCTCTGACGTAATGGCTGCACGAATTTTTTTCCAGGCATTTTTCTTTGCACGAATTTTTTTGGGGGAATTTTCATCCCCCCCCCCCTCCCGGGATTTCTAATGGTCTGCCCCTAATTATAACTATAGAGAAAGAATGAATTATTGTTTAAGAAATAGAAAAAAATCCCGTGCTTCTATACAATTATAAGGAAACAATCGTGCATGGGAGTTTGGAAAAACGAGAAATAATTCCTTATGAACACATCTATACTCATCCTCGTACCCAGGGTCTTTTTGGGAAAGACCCTGGTATCGGCTGGTCACGTGACTCTACAAAAATTGATTGCCCAAGGGGGAGTGGCAAAGTATCAAATTACATGCTTCCACAGAAAACGTTAAATTTCAAATACCAGGAGTGGGATTTTACGATATATAGTTTGAAGCGCCCGCTAACTTCTATTTTATACCTCCGTTTGCTTTTAAATTACAAAAACACTGACACTGTAGCATTTTATCAACAGTCAAGTCAAGAAACAAATAAAATGTATACTTTAAACTTTGAAGTTGGGTATTCCCTTGAAACATATTTTCATATCAAACTGGTCAGTCCTCAACGTTTGTACATTTTCACTTTTATCTGTTCCTAAAATATGACATTAGATTTCTTGTTTGAAAACGTTGATAAACTTTGTGCAGATTTACTAATAGTACGCGTCTCATTTTATAGTGAAGGTTGATAAAATTTTGAAATGTAATTAACTTTTTGTCACAAATCACAATGTAAACATGTGGACACTGCCGAACAGAGACTAAATGCTCACTTTAAAACTGTCGATGGTTTATCTTTGAAAATACTTTTAATTAAATAGTTCGTCTGTCATATTTTTTTAGAAACCCTGTAGATCGGTAGGGTAGGAGGTTGGCAGGTAGTAAAGTACAACAATTTTCAGCCTCAGGACGTGTATCATCATGTGGTATATACAATCACGGCTTTAATAGCCTGATAATTTTTTGGCCTCCATGCACTAAGTAATGGGGTAGCAGCAATATTTATAACAGTATTTTTCTGATATACAGTGCACACTTTATAATATGAACAGTCATAGGTAATTCCATAAACCACGGAATAAACAACGGCATAAACCACGGCATAAACACTGATATCACACTCAGTCTGATAAGCATGTGCAGTCATATATAGTCATATGTACCCACCACAGATATATTAACACTTACATAGTCTTAGAGTTTGATTCAGTATTATATTTCACAGAGTACTTCATTATAGTAAAGTAATTTCATTACCGTAAAGCTAATGTCACAATTAAAGCTATTTATCAAATTTATCATGAGGACTGCATTCTCTAAATGTCCTAAATGTCAAACATATTCAGTATTCGTATTTGTAACATACACGCACAGACGAGTCTTTCACTTATCTTTGAGTAGGCTATTGTCGGATTATTTTACCGTAGGTTTGATAACAGGGAGGTATACTTTGACATATTTCTTGAGCATCAAGCTCTGAGGATGGCTCCGAAGTTTCAGCAGTCCGAGTAGCATTGTTTACAAAGCAACATAGTTTGCGATATTTCAGAAATCAAAAGATCTCTATATATTTCGTTACACATCTCAGTATTAAATAAATCCTTTAGGATAGACATCAACAGCTAAATAACAGCCACATCGGTCGGTACTGGTATAGAAATATATTTTCTTGTAACGTTTGCGACGTGTTGATTTCTTCGACGAGCTGTATCGGCATAATTTGTCTATTGAAATCTGATCTATCTTTGCTCACCGACATTCTGCCACAATGAAATTTGATATTTACTGTTGTGTAACATTGATAGTCTTCATGACAAATAAAATATACAATTTTGTAAATATTTCCTGCATGATTTCTGGGTTATTTCTTCGCTCACTCCTTGCTCAATGACAAAACGTACTTAGGTACCCACCCTAATTGAAATTGTTTGTTATCTCCCAGATTCTGGGAGACACGTGACCAGCCGATAGCAGGGTCTTTCCCAGCCGGTGGAAAGTCCCTGCGACAGAGGTTGATCTATACTTAGTCCGGCCTGACCTTGTAATATAACATACCCTTTTTTGTCACAGAGTCCGAATCCAGGATCGAGCCAAAGGATATAATTTGCTTTGCTAGTGCTGCAGAGAAAAAACCGTTGCTCGGATGGGGAGATGGAAAGCAGCCGATGCTAATGTTTATAGATTCTAGACAACCATCTGAAGACGGAAAATTACCGCTACTGGAATCTACGTTGCCTCAAGCCTGCACATGTGGTCCTACTATTTTATTGCCCACTGCCTCCTATCGTGATTACACTCATTTCAAAGACGAAATGACGACTGGAATAATGTGCTCACCGCAAATTTTACTGGTTTAATTGGACATAATGACAAGATATACATTTTATTGAAACTTATACAATATGTATGTTAAGGTTACATCTTCCTGTTTTGTTGCAGGTATATGCATATACCTGGTTATTTTTCATTTCAAACTGAGTACAAACTAAACGGAGAGTTGTCCAGGAAGAGATTATTTCGCTAGCCTCAGAGTGACAAAACATAAAGCAACGTCTAACCCTAATTCCTTACCCTAACCTAACCTAACCCCACTCCAAATTTGTTTCTAAACCAATCTTGAAGAAAAAGTTTTGACCAAATGTTATTCTGAGGTCAGCGAAATAGTTGATGCCAGTTGTCCATCCCAGAATTAAATACTGAGGACGTCATGTGGTAGCTAATGAGCGACAATTTTTGACGCCACAAACGACAGATTACTGACAGGGGACTAGACAGAAAACTGTGTTTGTGTCAGTTTGTGCAATTAATTATGAGGTTCAATATACTTTCCTTATTTTCCTATACGAATACAAACATGATGAAAAACATCGCCAAAATTAGGTATGGTAACTTTCCTGTCACGTTCGCTTTGTGACGCACTTGCTCCAGTGGGTCGTGAAGTCATAATGTCTATAGCACGTATGTGAAGTCATAATGTCTATCTATAGCAAACAATACTAAATTGTTATAGACTGCCAGCGGTTTGTCCTTTCCCCGGGTTTAGATCTCCGGGCATGCGAAAGGAAAGGAGGGACTGCAGACAACACATCAAGAAACCAAATACGGGGTTGCCCACACAACGCAAAATTCCCATTGGTCGAAATCGATACGCTTGTCAATCAAATCTGATACGTAGTAATTATGCTATAAATAATTTCCAGACTGAGTGTTGATTTTATAAATAAATATGACATAAACGGTTCCTATATTGGATAGATTTAAGAGCGAAAAGTGGGCGTATTTCGTTTCTTGATGTGTTTTCGGCGGTCTTTCCTTTCTCCCGAGGGACTGCTCGTGGTCTAAAATTGCTGTCAATGTGTTAAATAGTAGCTGTATTTGGCATGTCTTGGAATTTGTCAATATGTTTTCAGAACGATTCTAAGAACAAAACAATCGAATGTTATTTTGATAGCAAGATTGTAATAATCTAATCTTTATCAGTTATGTTCCATCTCATGTTCCATTAGCAATTCCCATGAGAACAGAATACAATTGCTCAGCCTCTTCCCAATTATTTGGTTGTTGAAGTCGACTGGTTTCGAAAATATGGTTGAAGTATTCCTGCATGATATTTTCCTCTTCTTCAAATTGAAGAAGATTTTCCTGTACAAATTGGATTTGTTCAGCGGGAACTGGAAGGTATAAATTATCTATTCCCCCCTTCTTCTCCGGAAAATAATATAATTCGTCAGGTATGCCAGGAATTGTGTCATGCTTTGAATCTCGGATTCGATGTGTGTTCCACTGCTCCTTTACATAGTTCAGATCATTCTGAATCACATCTGAAAAACAAAACCACATACACTCCTTTTCAAGGTCATTATCTGGATTGAAAAGATTCCTTTCGCATAGATCCTTGAAATAGTTTATCCACCAGGTGGAACGATTTTTTCTGAATTGGAACCACCAGCTTTCGATCCTCTGGTTGGCAGGTGAGGTGCCGAAAAAATGAGCGTCACCGCTTGAACGAAATTCGCACTGCATGCCGGCCATAATGCCATTCTCGGTGCCGCAGTCGCTACGTAATTTCACGGGACAGCCATACGTTTGCACACTTTGTAAGTAAAACGATGCCGGTATTTCTGGCTTGTTATTGGATCTTGCCACGTGCAGCCATATAATCTTCCGACTCCACCCGTCAATACACCCGTATCCATCTGTATGCCAACAGTAATTAGGGCCTGGTACTCAATATGTTCGTCTACGTAAACGTTTTGCACGCCTGGTTTCACAACCCTCTGGATCAAGTTCTCTCATCAATTCTTCCACAATATGCCTTGGAACTTGATGTCCCTCCGTTCTTAGAGCATGCCACATCAAACGGTATCCACCCATATTACCTGGACCGTTTAACTTCCTTTGTATCACGCGACATATCTCGTCAATGTCAAAATTGGGCGTTCTCCGTCGAAGACCGTATTCTTATAAACGATTTCGTAGAGTTCGTTCAGAGATTTCGATCCCATGCTTCTTTGACAAAAAATCTACGATAGTTGTATATTGAAAACCTCTTGAAAAATAGTATTCTATCAAATCTTGTTCATCATTCTCTGAGTCAGACTCAGAGGAGGTGAACGAAGATGAAGCAGCCATGTTGGATTCTGCGACTTTGCGTGCAAATTTTCGTGAGCCTGGGACTAGTGAAAATAATATATATCTGCGTACTGAAAATATATATCTGCGTACTGAGAAATATTTCTGCGTACTGAAAAATATATATCTGCGTATTGAGAAATATTTCTGCGTACTGAAAATATATATCTGCGCACTGAGAAATATTTCTGCGTACTGAAAAATATATATCTGCGTACTGAGAAATATTTCTGCGTACTGGAAATATATATATGCGTACTGAGAAATATTTCTGCGTACTGAGAAATATATATCTGCATACTGAGAAATATTTCTGCGTACTGAGAAATATTTCTGCGTACTGAAAATATATTTCTGCGTACTGAGAAATAATTCTGCGTACTGAGAAATATTTCTGCGTACTGAAACTACATTTCTGCGTACTGAAAATATATTTCTGCGTACTGAGAAATATATTTGTTGTACTCTTTATATATTTATGATGTATCAGTAATAAGAAATATTTTTCCGCAATTCTATTATATTTCTGTGTTGCCGGTGTGGGCCACCGTATGAGAGGGGTGGGAAAGGAGCATGTTTGTAGCATTTTAAAATTGCAACTTTGGGTGATGAAATTTACTGTATATTTGCAACAAGAAATCGTAAAGAGAACTCTTAAATTAATATTTATATTGTGATGCTCTACTCTATAATCTGGTGTCGAGTTACAATTCAAGCAAGTTGGATCAGATTTCAATATTCAACTTTATATAGACTTGCCAAAGAAAGCATGCTTGCCGCTTGTGCAGCGTGGCAATATTAAACCTACAAGAAAATATAGATCTCTAGACCGAACAGTGTGGTTGTTATTTATTTAGTATTAATGTCTGTCCTGATACTCGGACCAAAAGAATTTATTTATTGATGAGATGTGGAATTGCAACGAAATAGCGAGATCTTTTGATTTCCGAAATATCGCCAACTGTATGGCCCCGCTTGGCATTGGTGAAACCAACGATCATGGTATATGTCAAATATAGCTGTCTGTTGAAAATCTACGGTATTAAAATCATACACCAAAGATAAGTCAAACGACAAATTATATGTCACTATATATTATAGCTACATGTCTTTCAATGAGCACTGTTTAGTAGTGTTCACCACCTTTATAATTGGTAAACAGCTTTCGTTTTGACATGAATAAGCTTTAATTTTTTGCTTATATGCATTCTTATTAATAATACAAGTGAGATTTAAATTTTTGCTTTGTGAAATAGAATACTGTTATTTTTTAATGGACTGCTTGCATCGTCTATATCATATCCAGGATTACTTCTGTGTAAACGCATTATTCACTGTATGACACTATCAAATAAATATAAGTAGCAAATGATTAATGTATTAGAGATAAACAGGTGATTCACAATGAAAACTTTAAAAATGTTAGTAGAAGTAGAAAACTCGAAAATTTATGTCTATTCGTATGACGCCAATGACGGTCTGTGCGCATCTGACACTGTAAATTTGTGATATAGGTTATAGTATGTTAACACAATATAATGATTAATAGAGACCACGAAAAAGGCTAAAGTCTTCTATAGACTACAATTACCGAATACGAATTATGTGCTAAATTCAGATAAATCAATGACTGAAATTTCCTCTATATGCTTATGAGTTATGGATATTTCTCTGTTCGGCTATTATCAAATGTTTACATTTGCTAATATTGGGCCAGTCCTAGACAATACTGTTTCTTTTACATGTAAAAATCATATAAACAAGACGCGTAGTAACAAGCGAATCGATGCAAAGCGTATCAATGTTTACAAGAAAGGACGAATGTAATGGCGTATTTTACAAACATTACAATAAACGTTTTTATAACTGCGCTCGAGTGTGAAGAGAATGCATGCTGCATTGAATCACACGAGAGAGCACTGCGAGTAATGATTTGCTTGGTTTCTTGACTTGACTGTAAGGCCAAATAAAAAAAATACTTGGTTAGCATCACTGTCCGCCTCTCGATTTTCTGCCACCTCTGAATTTTTAAATTTTTTTTTATGTAAATCTCTTCGTTTTACAGCTTAAAACAGTTTAATATTTGAAATTTTTCTCATGCTCAGACCTTTGCGCTATATACTGATCGATAGGAGCGTGTAGGCTTGGGTATACAAGGTTCTTAAAGCAAAATGGCGGCCTTCGCAACATCAGTACAAAAAATATCACCGATATGGTAGAAAAACCGCCCCCCATCCCCTCCAAAAATACTATTAAAAAATTAAAAAACGAGTAAAAATTTTTTAAAAAATCTGCCCGTCCGCCTCTGAAAATTTGTGAGAGTGTGATGCTAACCAAGTATTTTTTTTTATTTGGCCTAAGTAAGAATGTAAGAATGTTTTTGTAAATTCAAAGCAAAGAAAATAAACAAAACTTAGCAAGTATTTTGAACGTAATAATTCGAAAAATTTATGTTTTTAACGAATATCCCACTGGAAGCATGTTGATGTAATATGATACTTTCTCGACACCCCCTCGGGCGCTAAATTTTTGATGAGGCACGTGACTAGCCCGCAGCCAGGGTCTTTCCCAAAGAAAGATCCTGGGTACGAGGTTGATGGGGAAGGTGGCAGCGATCATAAAATATGGTCACAATTCCATGACAAAAGCTCACGTCCACTCCTTCCTAGAACGCCTGCGGAAGGCCAAACTGAAAAGAACAAAGGAAGAACATGATTTCTGGACGAAGGCCGATCCAGAGATTGACGCATGGATGATGACTGGGAGACAACGAGAGGTATTCGATGTGTCCATCTTTGTTTAAACGTAATCCAGAAATATTACCACACCTGAAAAGTATTTGTGACGAAGCGAACGTTCTAGTGCTTAGAAGTCGCTGCCCTATTGCAAGGGAGATGGAAAAGCAGAGACGAGAGAGAGACGGCGAATCGAGCGAAGAAAAAGAAGGGGTTCCATCTCCAAGTTATTGGACTGTTGTAAAAAAATGGATGCCGTGGTGAAAACAATTGAACCTATAATGTAATATGATTTACTTGCGTTCACAAGGACTGCCTTAAATCACTTATGCAGGGTTTATAAAATTAAATTATCCATTTACTTTTTTCATACAAATAAACCTCGGCCTTTTAACTTTTGAATGCTACCTTTCGGAATGTTCCAGTTGAAAAATTAAACAACAAAAACTTTTAAATCTTTATATAAACAGGAAAAAGAAAACATTTTAAGGTGTCAAAGTTGGGATTGTTTTTTTTTCTATACACCCTGTAGCAGTAATTGTATAATTACAAAAAGTGTGTGCTGCATATAGTCATTTTGACAAGTGTGTTTACATGTGTGCAAACAGATGACTTGCTTTTAGTTATATTTACATCAACATAACAAACGTTAAATTGCAAAATAACTAAAACGTTGCAAATCATTACGAAACAATGGAGGTCAGCAATGTCAATATTGTATTGTTTGAAAAATGCTAATGAATAATGTATATATATTTTCGCGTGCTTTAACAAATAGGTGTGGTTGTATTCTAGATATGAATACATATAAACAATTCTAAAAGCATTTTCATAAAAATTTAAATTAAAAAATTATGTCGTTATAACTATAGTAAAATTTGATAAATTGTGTTTGAAAATATCGTAAGTGCTTCGTAAGTGAACATTTGAAAAAGTGTTGGTAGCCAGAGGTTGAAAATTTTTCTAAGTCTTTTTTAAATGTTCACTTACAAAAAACTTACAAAAATTTCAACCATGGGCAAGCATTGGTAGCCCAAGGTGATTTTTGTAAGTGAACATTTAAAAAAGACTTAGAAAAATTTTCACGGGCTATCAATACAAGTAGCCCGAGGTTGAAATTTTTTCTAAGTGTAGTATAAACAATAGTAAAATTTGATAAATTGTGTTTGAAAATATTCTAAGTCTTTCGTAAGTGAACATTTGAAAAAAACTTAGAAAAATTTCAACCACAGGCTACCAACGCTTGGTAGCCCGAGGTTGAAATTTTTCTAAGTCTTTTTTAAATATTCACTTACAAAAGACTTAGCATATTTTCAAACACAATTTATCAAATTTTACTATACTTTATACTACACTTAGAAAAAATTTCAACCTCGGCTACTTGTATTGGTAGCCCGTGATTTTGAGTGGTAGCCCGTGAAATTTATTAGGATTTGTATGGAGTAGCCCGTAGCCCGTCAGTTTCTCAACAGAGTAAGTTAAGTAGAGACTTAGAAAAATTTCGGCCAGGGGCTACCAACGCTTGGTAGCCCGAAGTTGAAATTTTTTCTAAATGTAGTTTAAACTATACTAAAATGGTGGAAATTGTGTTGAAAATATTCTAAGTCTTTTGTATGTGAATATTTGGAAAAGACTTAGAAAAATTTCAATCACGGGCTACCAACGGTTGGTGCCCGTGTTTGAAATTTTCTAAGTATTTTCCTAATATTCACTTGCAAAATAATACTTAGAATATTTTCCAACAGAATTTACAGCATTTTACTATACTTTAAACTACACTTAGAAAAAATTGCAACCACAGGCTACTTCCAAAGGAGCAAAGATTGTGTTTTGAATAAAATTTGAACTGACTGTTACTATTGACAACTCTTATTAAAATCAGTGCTTGTTTAATAAGCAAATGAATGTGTATAAAAAACATTGAAAAGTTGAAACACATAGTCACGCTATTGTCACACATGGCTTGCATTCATTAGTATCAATTGTTATATACTCTCTTTTATTTCATACAAATATAAAAAATCATGCTTTACGTTTTAATATACAATTTAATGGTTTACAATCACACTAATTTAAAGGCTTCAGCCCTCTTTCGTAAAGTATTTGGAACACGACATGCATTGAAGTTAAATTCTGGATGACGCAATATCATTGACCAACGTAAACCAAATTTTTCAATGCCTAACCTAATGTAATTGTACTCGTCAGGTGTGAAGCGAATACCTGACCGTCGTTTAGTCAATTTATGGGTCGAAGTGGTTGCAGTGTCTTTGCGAACATGGTCTTGTCTCTGTGATGACTGCTCTACCTTTTCGCATTCAATTTCTAAATAGTTACTGTTCTCAACTAATTTTTGCATGCACAAACGTCCTCTTATTGCTACTTCCCGAGAACGCTTCTTTTGATAATGGACATGGGCAATGTTAGAGCTATGCTTCTGGTCTTCAGATATCCATTTCTGTTCGTTCGGTAGCAGAACCTGGGAACTTTCTGTCTCAATGATTTGTCTGTACCTAGTCGGATGAATGTACTTTCCGATGATTTATCAACACATACTCGCAAGTGGGTGTGAGAAGGGGTCTGATATACGTTATATATTTTTCCAATATCTCGATGCTGCATTTGTCAAAGTACACACTATCAAACCCGTACTTTTTAGCCGTCATGAAAATTTTCTGATCAACCATCCCTTCGTTTCTCTTTGCACTTTCAACGGTTTTGTTAACAGTTGTGGAGATCCCAAGGCGTAGTCGGTCATATTAGGAGAACTTAGAACGTCTTCTTCGGCGTCGCCACTCTCGTCGCAGCAAAACTTTATGAACTTTAAAGCTCTCGTGACTGAAATGTCCGATTGTTTAGGAGACTTGCCCCCGCCACAGCTGCTTTGAAGCCACCGCGAAAACGAATGAGCGGATTCGTTATCTGTAAAGCAGCCAGGAACTTTTCTTAGTTATCTGTAAAGCAGCCAGGAACTTTCTCATTAGTTCCGTTCGCAGCAGACGGTGAAGTGTCGAAAAGGTTGATCGATACATTGGGCTTCTCGTCGAAATAGTAATACCAACCATGTTTTATTTTCACATGTTTACGACAACCTCTTTGACTTGCAAATCCTGGATGCTCGCAGCCCGTTACTGGACAATGATCTAACCCATCTCTGTCTTTGACCAAATGCAATCGTCTCTGTTTAGTAAACGCACCGTCCACTGATTTCCAATCTACTTTAGATTTTCTTTGTGCAAACAAAAAAACTGGACAAAATGCTTATAGCGATCAAATTACTTTGGTTTTTATAGTGAACACGATACGCATTAGTATGTATATGCGATGTATGAATCTTATACGTTAAATAAATAGTCCCAAGTGCAATATATTATGTGTTATTTTGCGAAATAAACGGCAAAATTAAAATAGAGGGAACAATAAAATGGAACAACGGAAGCTAGCAATATGTGCATAATAAATTGTTCCAGTTTGCTAACCTAGTCGAAGAATATTAATGTTCCACTTCGCGGAACATTTTGTTCCTAAGCAAAGGAACCATGAAAAGGAACAGATTAAGTGTTCCTAATACGAGTTATTCTCAATCAGTTCCGCTTTGCGGAACATATTAGAAACAGAACAACCAAATTGAAGTAGGACAATTTGTTCCTTTTTTATTGCTGTTCCGTTTATAAATGGGAACACCCAACATAATTTACATGTGTTCCCGAGTATGGGGTTTAAATATATGCCAAAACTATGGCAAAACAAATCGTTCTTGTCATGACGCATTAGGTAACTTTAAATGTTTTTTCCTATTGAAATAACATGCTCACACCCTAGTGCTTCTGCCAAGTCCAATTGTTATGTGCTCATAACGCTTAATCTAGCAAATTTCCCGCTATAGTGATATTCTAAAAGGAACAATTGTTAGGGATACGTTACATCACCATAATTACCACCAATGCTGTCCTCACTTTTATCATCACCATTACCACCATCACTTTCATTCTCATCATCATTATAACCATTACTTCCATCACCACCATCATCACCATTATTACCATTGCCATTATCACCACAGTCACCACCATCATCATTACCATTATTACCATTGTAACCATCACTGTCATCACCACTTCCATCATCAAGATTGATATCCATTGTCAATTGCTATCATTAATGCCCCGAATGTCGATGCCTCCATAACTAGTACTATGACTGCTATTATCAAGAGTCTAATAACTGCTCATTTCTCCTCGGGATGTGTCAGAGTTAGCCACATTACCAGAGTTTGTCACTGTGTGATATGGGTGAGTTAGGAAATGCTTATGTACAGTCCGTCTATCCTGCAATTGGCCAGAGCATAACCGACAGTTACATACTTGTTTATTACAATTTGGGGATTCTATAATTGCAAAAAGTAAAAAATATATTAAATGTTTCATGAGGAACTGGTCATGGAATTTTTAAAAGTTTAATTTTAGAAGTCAGTTTCATATGGCGTACTAACACAAACGTAGACAGGAATGTGGAAAGCTTGTCAAACTTTGGGCTGGGGTGACCAAAGCTGTATGCAGGATTTTTTCACCAGGGGGCAGCAAGGCCTATATGCCAATGTCCCGAATATCCACAAAAGAATTAATAATGGCATTCTAAAAATCGTAAATATAGTTTTCTCTAGGGGGGGGGGGCAGTTGCCCCCTTGACACCCCCACCCCTGTATGGCCCTGGGGTGACTATCAGAAATGATACTTCTAGAGTCTTCTGAAAATTGAAATAAAAGTTTGAAATCAGATTTTAATATATATCTATACAATAATTTATACACACCTGATACATATCTTCCATGAGGGCCCTGAAGGGGTAAAATGGGAACTGGGATTGATCTATTTTTAGACTGGGAAAATGGGATTTGGGTTGCTGGGAGTGGGATTTGGCCACTGGGAATGGGAAATGAAGTCCTCAAAAATGGGAATGAGATTGAGGCAATGCGAGTCGATTCCCAATTTTACTACGTTTTGAGTATTTTAAAATACAATTTTGATCCGTTTTTGGTGTCTTTGACCATGATTTTTGTTGTTAACTATATTATTCACAGCACTACCTGCGAACAGGCATACTCTGGCGCCCGGAATTCTGGGTTTTCTGATTATGCGTGTCTCAGAATGCTGCAAATGCCATTTCCGGGATTCAAATTCAAAAATTTTCCGTGCCTTTGGCACGAGCCCCCTCCCTCATATTTCATAAAGTGTCCGCCACTTGCTTAAAAGGTCTTAAAACTGTTTATTCTACCGATAAATACAGGGTTTTTTATTGACTGGGATTTCAATAAATGGGACTGGGATTTCTAATAAAAATCCAACTGGGACTGGGATTTTGCCAAAATTTCAGGTGGGAAATGGGATTGGGACCCCCCCCTTCAGGACCCTCATCCATACTTGACACTGTAGCTTTTTATAACAAATTCAAGTTCATTGTTCTTATATATATTCTCAAGGCAATCTTATATATTTTCAAAGTAATCTTATATATTCTCAAAGCAATCTTTTATATTTCCAAACGACTCAAAGCAATCTGTTCTGAACCTTAGCTGACGTGTACATATCTATGTCCACTCCCCCAAAACTACATTTCTGGAATCTCCAGAGTTTTAGAGCACAACCGGAGAGTCTTAAAAAATTTCCATTTTCGCAGCATGCCACGAAATCACAAAACCAATCATATTTCATGACTGCGTAACATGAAAATAATATCCAGCGGCGTAATATTTTCCCACTTATTTTTAACCGTTCTGTGTTTGCTTCGCTTGACTGCGTCCATTGTACATCTTGAATGCATATTTTTACAATTGTACTGTCGATCTCCGTCTGTATTGGTCATATATTTCCTGAAGCACAGTTTAAATTTTGCCGTAATGTAATCCGTACAGGTAAATATAAGAATTTAATGATACTTTTAGTATTTAGCAAAATATTAAATGTGGAAGCGAGGAAATTCCACGGTCAATGTCGGACATTCCACGGTCAACTTCGTTATTAATTTTTGTCGATTGACAATTGCTTTTAAAACGAAGATAGTACATGAATATTCATATAACTATTCAGAATATTAAATAATTTTATGCAAACTATTAACAGAAAAGCAACATTCGAGAAGTCCTCAATCCTTATTGAGAGTTGCACGTCTGCCCCTGTGGTTTTGTATTTATATTATTTAAGTTGGCATCAAATATATTTGCAGGAAAATGAAGCACAATCGTTTCTGACAAAAAAGGTCTTAAAAATTATGTTGAGGAATTGGTGGTAAAAAATAAGGTATTTATAGTGCCACACATGAGATGTCGTCAATTTTATATTCTATACTTTTATATATTAATTTAAAATTGTATTTGTACATTGTCTGCATGATAAATGTCCTTCTTTGTGGCCAAATTGTGTGACAGAAAGTGCGGTTTCTCCTATTATTTTTCATGAATACAATACTTTATAATTTGTACAGTTTGAAACCATATCTGATTTAAAGTTGCTGACCAATCTGGAAAGTGATAACATGTTCAAACATTTGGGCTTGCCTTTATGTATGATTCTCAAACTAAGGAGTGAACTACAAAAACTTCATTCTACCTCAAGTTTGTAATGTAATTAAAATTATATAAAAATACTAATACCAAAATGGCATTAGACAGAGTAAATACTAGAGTATTTACTTGTGTATTGCTTGTTAATGGGTTAAATAATACTCATGAATTCATATAGATGATCTTAAAATTGAAGAACCAATGGCATGTGATGGCACGGCAGTAGTTCCACATGAGACGCCAGTAGTTCCACAAGAGACGTCAGTAGTTCCACATAACTATGAGATCCCAAAAATGAAGTTGTTGGAGCTCCAAAAAAACAGTGTTGAGGCTCAATATGCCAATGCCCAATGCAACAAGTTCACCAGCTTTTCAGCATCAAAAATGAAAGAGTTTTATCAAGAAGGAAAGGTAATTTTATATGGAGAGATTTTATGAGTGTATCATGTTTCATTATATAGCATGTAGTCAATACCAACATTTTTTTTTATTTAATTATTTCGCCCAAATTTAACATTGATTATTAATTAATATTATTTACAAATGAGGGCTAGATGCCTACTAGAAACCATCAGGCTTTTGTTTAAGGCCCCTAGTGTAATCAATTATATATAATCATACATTTAACATTAACAGTTCAACAAAAAATATTTAACTAGAATGTTCATAATTAACAATAAATGTTCAAAATAAAATTATTTTCATAAAGTCGAAGATTCCGTAGTTACTATATATCGAAAACTGCATGCATGCATGTGTACACTATTAAATATATATATATATATATATATATATATATATATATTATATATTATATATTATTTATTATATATTATTTATTATATATTATATATTATATATTATATATATATTATATATATATTATATATATATATTATATATATATTATATATATATTATATATATATATATATTATATATATATTATATATATATATTATATATATATATATAGTACATACATTAATTCTAGAGTATACATATTTTCGTTATCTGATTTATTTTACAGAGTTAGGTAACTGAATTGATTTGTAAAAAATATTTTTTAATTTTTCTTTTGAATGTGCTGTAAGATCCTGTTTCTTTATAATGGTTATCAAGACCATTCCATACATCAATTCCTTTGCATGCGAGAGAATGTTTTTTGTAGTTTGTTCTTTTATATGTTTTATGTAATAGTGAAGAACTTCTTGTGTTATAACTATGAAACTCATTGTTTTTTGAAAAATAATTTTCAAACATTTCTGGTAAGTTTTGTAAGTTATAATACCTAAACATGAACAAACATGTTAGGTATGAATTAATTTTGTATAAATCGAGTATTTGTAAATCATTAAAAATTGGTTCACTGTGTTCAAAATAAGATTTGAAAGTCATTAGTCTTACACAGTGGCGTGGTGGCTCGAAAATTTCAAGGGGGGCCAGTGTCAAAGTTGTCGTCCCTAAGAGTTATCTCGATTATTGCGCCCCCCCCCCC